TACCTATCCCCACCCCAGCATTCCCAGGCCTGTGCTTCTTCAGTGGCCTCCATGCCTACCCTTCCCATCCCGGCCTCCATGCCTTGTCTCCTGCTGTTCCTTTGCCCAGAATTCCCTTCCTTCCTCTGTACAAATCCCGCCCATCCCTCAGGTTCCAGCTGGAGTCCCAGCCCACCCCGGAGCCTGGAGTAAAGACCCAGGGTCAGAGGCGGCAGGGGTGTAAGGGAGCAGTGGTGATTGCGACAGCAAGTGCAGGGATCTGATTTACAGCCCAAGCTGCTGCAAGCTGGCTGTGTGACGTGGGATAGGTCACTTTCCCTCTCGGGGCCTCAGTTTCCTACCCCTTCCAAGGAGAATAAAGGAAGACCCTTGTCCCCATGGAGCTCCCAGTCTAGAAAGGGTCATAGGTAAAACATGACCAGTGACTTCAGGGGTGTATCAAAGGCCTTGACTCTGCACCTGAGAAGAAGCTTATGGAGAAAACCTTGAAGAATGGATAAAATTACAACCAGTAGAGATCGAGGCAGGGGAGAGCACCCCCGGCAGAGGAAACAGCCTGTGCTGGGAGGCAGAAAGGTCAGCGGGTGTTCGAGGAAGAATGAATGTCTAGATTCTGGTTTCTTTCTGAGTCAACAGCTCCGATGCTTTTTGTAAGCTGGCAGCCCAAGCCAGGCAGCCTCCAGTAAACACCTGTTTACACAATCGAGGTCACGCACAGGGACGTGTTTGCACAATGACCTGTTTGCACAATCTCAGCCGACAGAGTATCCCAGCCAGGCCAACCCCTGCTGGATGAGCACAGCCACCACTTCCGGGTACTCACCCTGGCTGACCCACCCCGCCCCGCCCTGGCCCGCCCTGACCCACCCAGCAGCCCCACACATCAGGGCAATAACAGAAACTGAAACGATCTGACCCTCAGCAGAGCTGCTGAGAATGGGGCTCCCTCCCCAGGCCTCTCTGTGGGGTTTCCAGCCCACAGAGGACACCCTGTCCAACGGAGGAGGGGGTGGGGCAGAAGAGGTGGAGGAGGAAGTATCCAGGCTGGAGGGGTGTGGAGGGGATGACTCCACATCCGCCTCCTGCTTTTCAGCTCACCAGAGTAAACATTTATTGAGCATTTACTATGTGCCTGGCTCTGTTCCACGGGGCCTCACGTGCATAATGTCGCCGATTTCTCTCAAGAATCCCATGAAGCGGGTTTTATTATTCTCGTCATTTTAAAAATGATGAAACTGAGGCTCAGAGAGGTTGAACAACTTGCTCAGGGTCACACAGCTCATATGTGGCAAACCCAAGCAGACTGACTCCTTAGCCTCTGCTCTTAACCTTCCTACATACTAATGACGCTCCCTTTAAAAAGTTCTTCCTTACGTCTAACTCTCACTTGAGCTGCTGCAGCTCCATTTCCTGGTGCAGGTCAGCAGTGGAGAATGAAGCACAGATGAGATCAGTAAAATTTCGTTCTGAAATATTGAACTATGTATACAGGGGTAAAAAAGAAAGACTTTTATTGAACGCCTATTATATGCTGGTTCATGTGCAAGGCTCCCGTAGCTCATTGAATTCTCACAAAACCCGCAGGAGGAGTTATTATCCCTGTGGCAGATAAGGAAATGGCTTAGAGAGGGCAAACAACTTCTCCAAGATTCCGCAGTCCAGTAGCCATGCACTGAGAATCCCCTGTGTGGCCTGCACTGTGCAGAGGCTGGAGGCAGAGATGAGAATATGGTTTCTGCCTTCTGGGAGTTCACAGTCTAATGGAGGAGGCAGACAGCCCAGGCCCACTGCAGGCTCACGGGAAGGACGCTCAGCACAGGCTGGATGTCTGAGCTATGACAGAGGCAGAACTGTCTAGCCTGACCGGAGGTGATGGGATCAGCAAGAACAAACAGTGTTCCAGAGCCTGAGGCAGGTAGGGAAACAAGCAAATTCTGCATGAAAAGCATGACTAGAGCATGAAGTGTCCACCTGGGGAAATGGAGGCAGATAAGGCAGCAGAGGGAGGCAGGGCTGGAGGAGCCCAGCGGGCAAGCTGGCACATCCAGGCGAAGGACGCAGAGACCTGACAAAGGCAAGAAGGGGAGATGGACTCACGATGTGGGCAAGATAGAGCTCCATTAAGGCAGGAACCAGAGCTGCTTTTGCACATCACTGTACCCCTGCACCTGCTCTAGGCCATGCTTTCTGAATGATGAACAAAAAGGCCCACCCATTCTCCTTCATTCTGAACTGATTGGATGTGGGAGTATGGAGAAGAGGTGTGAGGAATGACTCCTGGGCCCCTGGTCAGGTGACTTGGGAGGATGATGTAGTGGACTAATTTACCAAGGTGAAGAACATGGGGGTTGGGAATAGGTTTGGTGAAGTAAAGGAAGGTTCATCCAGACAATCCATTCACTCAACAAATATGAACTGAGGGCTCACTGTGTGACAGGCAGTGTGGTATACACAACAGATAATGTTTTAAACAAAACAGACTGAAACCCTTGCCTTCATGGAGCTTCCATTGTAATGGGAGATGAGGACAGGGGCAACCAATGTCAGATGGTGGAAAGGGATGCAGCGGGAAAGAAGTAAGGAGTAGGGCTTGCAATTTTGTGAAAGGGTGGTTGGAGAAACCCTTGATGTGAAAGTGATATTTGAGCAAAGACCTATAAATGGGGAGGGAATGACCCTTATCATTGTATTTTGGGGGAAAGAGTCCAGGCAGAAGAAACAGCAAGTACAAAGGTCCTGGGGCAGGAAAGAGCCTAACCAGTTCAAGCAACAGCAAGGGAAGCAGAATGGCTGAGCGGAGCAGAAAGGGAGAGAACTATAGGAGAGGGATCGGGGAGCAAATGGGGGTGCTCCAGGTGGAATGGGAACTTGCAGTTCATTGACAGGGGTTTGACTTTGACGCTGAGATGGGACCAATTGGGGGGTTTGGGCAGTGGATGCTGGGAACCGGCTTCTGTTTGATCAGCATCGCACTGGCTGCTGATGGACCTTTAATTAACAGGTGGAGGGACAAAGAAGAACGGAAGTAGGAGACCTGGGAGGGGGCCATGGCAATCATCTAGGTTTGTGTGATATTTACATCCTCCAACTGTTTATCATGAAAATATTCAAACAGAGCCACGCTGAACTTTACAGTGAGCATCTGTCTACCCAGGATTCTGGTTCTATTTCGAAAGAAGAATCAGTGGGATTCGCTGAGCCTGCAGGGGCCTAAGGGACATCTCGGGGAAGTAACCGCAGACTGTTGGGTATTTCGATCTGGAACCAAAACTGCAGCCCAGGTCGACCCCCTCACCCCAGGCTCAGAGAGCCCATTTTTTTCTAAAAGGATTATATGTTAGCGACACTCTGCTAGTCAGGTGGGACCTAACCTTCCTGGGTCATAAATCCAATAAACTATGAACAGAAAAATGCACAGAAAATTATAAACAATTGCAGGGAAATCGTGGATATAGAGAATGAAAGACGTAAGATGTAGTCTGTTCCACTCCCTCAGAAAATGTCCGTTTAGCAGAATCCTTGTGAGCAAACATGACTAGTTTCTGGCGATCCTCTGAAGACCCTGAACCACACAGGTCTTCCCTCTGGGGTCCCAGAGTCCCCATTTCTCCTCTGCTTGGCCACAGGCAATGGTAGGAGCACAGCGGTGAGGAAGGTGCTGCATGACTAAATGCCTGTAACCTGGAGGCTGCCCTGAGTATTGTGAGGATCAGGGCTCCAAGGCTGGTGCCAAAAAGAGGCTCAGAGCTGAGCGAACCTTCCAGCCAGGGTCTGTTCTGAGCGATGCTCCCCAAGGCAAGGGACAGGGGAATGGCACCCAGCTGGGTTGGAGCCTGGGCCTGGCCGGGCCTCAAAGCTTTGAGGTCAGGAAATCCGGAGACAGAGGAGGGGACATCGTTGCCACATCCCCCAGCCCCTTTAAGACCCCCAGGGCAGGAAGGCTGCCCAGCCTCACCAGCTTCCCTCCCAGGCTCCTTCCTGGGAGGAAGGGGCTGCCTGCGCCGCAGCAACAGGGCAAGGGAGGGAAGGAGGCTGGGCAGGTGTTGCAATCCACAGCCCCTGGGTCTGTCAGAGGCCAGGAGCCACTAACGACAGGCTGGGGAGAGAAGTCAGAGGCGCTGTTTTCAGGAACTTGCCTGCAGAAGAGAGCGGAGACCCGGAGGCCAGGCGGCAGCGGCTGGCTGCGCGGCTGCAGGCTCCAGCGTGAGTAGGGGAGCCCCTAGGAGAGCTGAGCCTTGGCCTTGATGGGGGCCTGGAGTGCTGAGGCCATCCCCTCCCGCCCACCCCGCCCCCCAGCTCTGCCAAGTGCCAGTATTCAGGGCCCCTAGGCCTGGGACCAGAGCTCCTGCCTTTGTGGTTTGTCCTTGGACCAGGGACCCTACGCACTGAGTCTCTTTTCCCAGAGATGTCCCCGCTTGGGGGTGGGCATCACAGACAGCTGGGCTCAGGGAAGGGCCTCCTTGTTAGCCCTCCCAGGCCTCTGCCTCTCAGAGGTGCGTCTCCACCTCCGTCTGTTTCGCTCTCCGTTTCTCTTTCCCCCGCCAGCCACTCTCTGGCTTGCCCGGGACTCCGAGCCTCTCTCTGTCTCTCGCGTTTCCCTGTCTTTAAATCTTAAACTCTCGTGGGTATCAGACTGCTTCTCAGCCTCCAAGTGCCTCAGTCTCTCTGTGTCAACACCATCCTTGTCTCTTGGGCTCGTCTCTCCCTGACTCTCAGCGGCTCCCCTGCCTGACTTTGTCTCCATCGTGTGGGTCTGCCCTGCGTAACTTCACTTTCTTACTCTTTCTGCCTCGATCTCTCTCTGAACCACACCTGGGAAGGCCTCTCCCTCTGTTGGTTCCCAGCGCCCTCCTCCCTCCCATCCTCCTGCCATAGAAACACTGCCAGGTGAACTAGAGTAGAAAGAACAGGGAGAGGGGCGGGAACTGGAGAAGGTGGAGTGGAGGGAGAGGAGAGGGAAGCGGAAAGAGGGGGTGTGATGCAGGGCTGGGGGGGGGGGGGGCGGGCAGCGGGTGTGCTGGGACCCAGAAAGAGCCAAAAAGTGCCCAGCAGAGATGGCTGGAGCGAAAGGGAGACTTGGGGCCAAGGAGCTGGAAGTAGGGGACCCAGAAATGAGGCCTTGAAGCCATGCAGCATGACACAGACAAAGCAAGGTGGCTGTCCCAGGAGGCGGTGACCACGCAGCCTGCAGGCGGGAGAGGCGCTGAGCCCTCCTGTGTTCCGTGAGGTGGTGAAAATAACTTGGTGATTGAGTTCTTTCTCCTGGCGGCTCCGGCCCCGCGCCAAGTGTTTTTCTCAGGGTCGTCTTGTTTCATCCTCACCACAACCCTGAGAAGAGGATGCTGTTCTTATCCCTCCTTCACAGATGGGGAGACTGATGCTCAGAAAGTAACCTGTCCAAGGTCACCAGGCTGGTAAGTGGCAGAGCTGTGGTTCAGACCAGCTGGTCTGACGCACAGCTGGGCTCCCAAGCTCTCTGCACACTGACCCCAAGAGAGGAGCCCATGTTCCCACAGGCCCCAGTTCTCACTCACGGGGGCTGGGAGGCACCCGGGCTGCCGTGAGGGACCAGGGACCGATGCCAGGGTCCCAGTACCCAGCAGCCCAGCGGGGAGGATGACTGGCCTCTTGGGGTTTGGGGGTTGGTTGCCCACTCTGAGCATGAGCCAGTGGTGAAGTGGTCCCTCACCGGGCACAGGCTGGGCCTGAAGCTGCCCCTGCTAGGGCAGCAGGGCTGGGTAACACATGGAGATGGACACCAGTGTCCCAAAACCTGGGCCAAAGAGGATAAATCTTCCCCCAACAAGTGTGTGTGGCGGGAGGGGGGTAATCAAACCAATATGCTCTAGGAAGAAGGTTGCCAACCACTGAGTGGGGCGCTCTGAACAGCTGTACACAACGCTACAGGGCTGAGGGGCAGGCGGAGGCTGAAATCCAGCTTCTTCTCCAGTTACCAGGTCCTAGTGTGGGCTGCGTCCAGATTAGAGGGGAGAGAAAAAGTAACTTATGGGCTAGCCACCTGGTATCCTGATACTGTGACTATGTGGGGAGCCTGGGGGTCTTAAGGCCCCTACAAGCGGAAAGAGCCTTGGGTATCTGGGCAGTTGTTAGTCACACCTGTGTGGGAGGGAGAGAAGCTCTCTCCCTCCTGAACACAGAGGATCTGCTGGGCCACCACCTATGTTTTTATGAATGCACACGCTGGCTGGTCAGCGATTCCCACTGACCTGCCACCAAGTGTCAGTTAGCGCTGGAGGATCAGGTGTCTGGCCCCCAGACCCCAAAGGGATCAAGTGGAGGGTTAGGCTGGAAGCCCACCTGGCACCCTTCCTGAGAGGGGAACTAATGCTCCCTCCACCCAGGCACTGTCACCCGGGGACATCTCTGACACTTCTGGCATGACTCACCCAGCAGAACCTGCCTCACACTCATGCATGTGCAACCTGGATGTGCCGGGCAGTTAATACCCCAAGGGACATCCCTTGACCAATGGGGACGGGAGTTGGTGCATAAGTGTTCCCATCCTCCCTCCTGTTCAAAGGGTAAACTGTCCCTTGGGTGGACAGTTCTGAGGCATGTCCACGGCTCCTTGGAAAGTTCCAGCAGGCTTGAATCCTAGTTGTCTACAGAGGTGACATGTCCTTGTATTGGCTTTCCTTTCTTACCTGTTTCATTCTCCCTACTCCCTTGCTCTGTTCCTGGGATCTTCCTAAAATAAACTACCTGCATGCGAGCCTCATCGCAGGCTCCTCTTTGTTGGGGGGAGGGAGAAACCCAGCTAAGAAAGAAGGGGGAATGCTGTTCCTTGCTGCTCCCTTCCCTGCTCACTCTGGAAGGCAGGACAATAATAACAGTGCCTGTCACTTACAGTCATTTCCCATGTGCCCTGTGCAGTAGTGTGGGCTGTTACCTCCATTTTACAGACAGAGAAACTGAGGCTCACAGAGGTCAAGTAACCTGGCCAAAGCCACACTGCGGCAGAAAAGCGTTAAGCTCCGCTCTGACTCCGAAGTCCAAGGCCGTAACTACGCCCCTCTGCTTCCAGGTGAACAGCAAGTTGGCGCGATGGTGGTGGGGCTGGGAACCTGGAGCCTGGCCAGAGCTGCCCTGATCATCCTACTGCTCCCCAGAAGTGAGTGTGGCCGGGGTGGGTGCTGTGGTGGGAGGGGAGCTACAGGGAGAGGTTTCAGGGTTGGAGGAGAGAAGCATGTTCCTGCGCTGCCACGCAGCCCCTGGGGATCCTAGAGAATGCCCAGAGAATGAGACTGGGCCACAGGGCTGGGGTAGCTGGGCCCCCATCACGGACTTCTGCAAGCCGCCGCCCAGGAGGAATGGTGAGGGGACCTGAGCTGGTCAGCCTGGAAAAGCCCGGGGGTCGGGGGTGGCAGATCTTTCTGCTAATCTCTGCCAGGCTGTCAGAGGAACCTCTGGCTTCTGTGCAGTCTTCACGGGCAACAAAGGGATCAGGTAGGTTTCCTCCTGAAATAAGGAAGCCCAGGCAGAGCCCTCCTACTACGGAAACTCTGTCTTGAGAGGTGAAGAGCCTCCCATCTCTGGGGGCATCCAAGTTGAGGCCAGGATTGACAGGGATGTTGCACAGCAGGGCTTGGCAAACTTCATCCGATAGTAACTTTCAGGCTTTGCAGGCCACTGGCAGTCTCTATTGTATGTTCTTATTTGGTTTTGGTTGTTTTTAACCCTTTAAAAATGTAAGAACCCTTCTTAGCTGGCAGGCCATACCCAAACAGGGGACCCTGGCCCTGCTGTAGAAGACGTAGCACCAGGTGTTGCTTTTAAGTAAACAGTTTTGCAAGGTTCCTTCCAGTCTGAAATTCTGAGTCTGTGAAGTGCTAGGAGTCCCACAAATTTGCTCTGTGACCTGGACAAATTGTTCCTCCTCTTCGGGCCTCGACATCCCCATCAGGAAAATGGGCCGAAGGACACCTGAGAGAGGAGAGAGGGTATGGCGGGCAAAGCACAACACTTTATTCAATACATGTTCACCGTGGGCTACTCTGCTAGGTGCTGGGAATACAGCAGGGAGCAAAACAGCAAGGTCTCTGGCCTCACGGAACCTCTGGTCTAGCTGGGGAGACAGACAAGCAAATAATCACCTGGCTATAATTATGAAGGATAATAAGAGCTTTGGGAAAGTTCAGGGGGCTTGGCCTGGTCTGTTTACGTCCAAGATACCTAAATGTTAACCAGGCGAAAGAGAGGTGGGAGGAAAGGAGCCCCTCAAAAAGCAACAGCAGGTGCAAAGACCCTGAGATTGGAGAGAGCCTGGCATTTTCAAGGAATTGCAAGAAGCCAGGGTGATGGAGCTGAGAGAGGGAGGTCTGAGCTGTAAGTGGGAGGATTAGGCAGGAGCCAGGCCACGCGGGCTGCGCGTGGCTCTGGGTCTTTATCCTGGCAGCAAACACTCACTGTTCTACGTGCCTTACACACGTGATCACACCTAATGCTTCCATACCAGGGTCACATAATTAACAAGCAGTAGGATCAGGCCCTAAACCCAGGCAGTCTAGTTCCAACAGCCTTACTCCTATCTGTCAACCTCACTGCCTTTCGGAGCAATAACGTGCCACTGCAATGCTGAGATCGAGGTGCAGAAACCATCAGATCTGAATTCTGAAAAGACGGCTGTGGCTGCGGGGCTCTTATCATTCTAATCACTGCTTTCTTTCGTCACCCTGGGGGCGAGTGGTGAGCCGCAGCAGGCCTGCAGGAGCTAATGTGCACAACTCTCCCCAAGTTCCCATCAGGGATTTCAGGGATGTCCCACTGGTAACTTGCAGTCAGCCACGGAGGAATATTCCACCAGGGAAAGCAGCCGTACTACAAATCAGGATGGGTTTTTCTCTGCACAGCCGGTTGATAAACTTTTATGCACACATCACTATCTCTGTCTCCTCCCCAAGAGCCTCTCACAGTCCCAAACGCGGCACCCCACTCCAGCTCCCACATCTTGGGAGGCAGGGGAGGCCCTGAGTCTAAGAGTACAAAGGCCTAGCATGTAGCCTGGCTCTGCATGGCAGAGGAGTCACTCGTGGCCCATTCTCTTGCCCCATCCCAGGCCTGGAGGAGTGTGGGCGCATCAGCGTCTCAGCCCCCATCGTCCACCTGGGAGATGCCATCACGGCCTCCTGCATCATCAACAAGACCTGCAGCCACCTGGATCCAGAGTCACAGATTGTGTGGAAATTGGGGACAGAGCTTCATCCCGGGGGGAGGCAGCAGCGCTTGCCAGATGGGACCCAGGAATCCACCATCACCTTGCCCCACCTCAACGACTCTCGGGCCCTTCTCTCCTGCTGTCTGCGCTGGGGCAACAGCCTGCAGATCCTGGACCAGGCTGAGCTGCAGGCAGGCTGTAAGTCTCCTGCTCTGCTTCCAGTGCCCCCCTGAGATACTAATAAGAACTCTCTTTCTTGAGCTCTTGCCCAATAGCACTTTATGGGCTCAATATTAGGTCATCTTCCCTACCCGTGGATAGTGCTGTTTGGCCCCATTTTACAGATGAGAAAACTGAGGTTCAGAGAGGGTAAGTAACATGCTGAATGAAAGTCACAAACTAATAAGGATGGAGCGAAGATTTATATCAGGCAGCGTGGCCTGAGAACCAGTGTAGTAACTGCTACTTTATATGGCCGCCGAGTAAGCCCAACTCTCCAGTCTCAGGCTTCTGCACAAGTGGCAAAGAATGGAGTTTGTGCCAAGCCAATGCACAAAGACAGACCATGGTTCTTGTGTAAGAATCAACAATAGTGCTCTGAGCACTTTACATAGAAAGTCATTCGGCCTTCACAATAGCAGTGGTCAGCAAACCGCGGCTCGTGAGCCACATGCGGCTCTTTGGCCCCTTGAATGTGGCTCTTCCACAAAATACCGACTTCTGCGCATGGGCCACGAAGTTTCAATTGCACTGTATGTGCACGCCCGCACGTGGTATTTTGTGGAAGAGCCACACTCAAGGGGCCAAAGAGCCGCATGTGGCTTGCGAGCTGCGATTTGCCGACCACAGGCCTAGGGGACAGGTACATTACCATTACCCCCATTTTACAGATGAGGAAACAGAGCCCTTAAGTGACCTCAGAATCACACAGCTAATGAGTGGCAGAACCAGAGTGAAACCCAGACACTACCTGTCACTGTTAAAGGGGGTGGAGTTGAGGGGGTTTGAGGCTCTGTGAAGCCTGTCCCTGTGCGCGCCTGCAACTCGGTGTCCCCCCCGCCCCCCCCGGGCTGCACGGAGACAGGAGAAGAAACAAAGTGGCCCCAGAGGGAATGACCCAGAGCAGGGAAGCAAGCCGGTTGGTCCCAGTGGGAACTTTCTGAGTGTCCTACCCAAAGCCCTCACTCTCCCCACCCTGTGCACAGACCCTCCCGCCACGCCCCACAACCTGTCCTGCCTCATGAACCTCACCATCGAGAGCCTCATCTGCCAGTGGGAGCCAGGACCTGACACCCACCTGCCTACCAACTTCACCCTAAAAAGCTTCAAGTGAGTAGGGTCTCTATTCCAGCACCATCCTGGGGTGGGGCACAGGTAGGACTGTGGGTTTGGGGGAGACAGAGACAGAGATGGGAGGGAGAAGGGAGCCTTGCTGTCTTCCTCTGCTTGACACCCAAGCCTGGCCTATTGGCAGGAGCCGGGGCAACTGCCAGGACCAGGAGGAAGCCATCCCCGACTGCGTGCCTGAGGACGGGCAGAGCCGCTGCTCCATCCCACGCAAACACCTGCGGCTCTACCAGAGTATGGGCCTCTGGGTGCAGGCAGAGAACGTGCTGGGGACCAGCGTGTCCCCGCCGCTGTGCCTGGATCCCATGGACGTTGGTGAGTGATGCCCTTGGTACGGGGGAGGGAAGAGGCTCCCACAAAGTGTAGACCCAGAGAGGCAGAGAGAGGGAAACACAGACCCAGAGACAGACAGACACTGGAAGACCTAGGGATGGAGGAAGAGAAGAGAGACGGAGACCAAGGGGGATGCAGTTGGAGACAGAGCTATGGAGACACAGAGACGTGGAAGAAACACAGACACAAGGAGACACATTCATTCCTTGGGCAGGATTCTTGACGTGCCCAGTGGGTGCAAGGCACTGTTCTAGGTGCTAGGGATGCAGCAGTGAACAAAAGAGCAAAAACCCTGCCCCAGAACGTTACCTTCTAGTGGGCAAAATAAATAAGATAGGCTGTCAGCTGGTGATCAGTGCGAAGGGGACATTGAAGCGGGGAAGGGTGTGAGGGCTGGGGGTGGGGAGCAGCTGCTATTTCAGTAAGGTGGTCAGGGAGGCCTCACTGAGAAGGTGACATCTGAAAAGATCCTTGAAGGAAATGAAGGAGCAAGACACTGGGTCTGTGGTGGGACAGTGTTCCAGGGAACAAACAGTGCACCCTGGGGTGAGAGTATGAAACAGACCCAGAGAGAAACAGACGCATACACAGAGGCAGACCCGCAGAAACGTGATAACACAGAGATGAAGAGACAGAGCAAGAAAGAAAGACACAAGACCCCACGGATGGAGACCCAGGGAGAAAAATGGAACCACAGACAGGGAGAAGAGGGAGCTAAGGCAGGGCCTATCAGATGGGGGAGGGAAAGGGTCTGACAACCCCTCTCCCTGCAGTAAAACTGGAGCCCCCCACCCTGTGGGCCCTGGACCCCAGCCCTGAGGTGGCCCCACCCCAGCCAGGCTGCCTGCAGTTGCACTGGGAGTCATGGAAGCCAACCCTGTACATAGACCAGAAGTGTGAGCTGCGCCACCAGCCACAGCCTGGAGGAGCCGCCTGGACCCTGGTGAGGTGGAGGGCAACCTCAAGAGCCTGGGGTGGGGGTGGCTGAGGGGAGGGTACGTTGAGCTAGCCCTGAAGGGCACAGGAATCCAGGCTCAGAGCCACGCCTTCCTCCCCCAGGTGGGCCCCCTGCCCTCCAAGACCCTTCAGCATGAGCTCTGCGGGCTCCTCCCATCCACAGCCTACTCCCTGCAGATGCGCTGCACCCGCTGGCCCCTGCCTGGCCACTGGAGCGACTGGAGCCCCAGCCTGGAGCTGACCAGCGCGCAACAGGGTAAGCGGGTGGTGTGGGGCTGGGAACGGCCAGGACCCAGTCCCACCTCGAAAGCCCTCCCTGACCAGCACCCCCTCCTCTCACTCCATCCACAGCCCCCAATGTCAGACTGGACACGTGGTGGCGGCAGAGGCAGCTGGACCGCAGGACAGTGGACATGCAGCTATTCTGGAAGGTGACCCTCTGAAGCCACCCCTGAAGCTTCCTTCAACCCACACAGTCCCCTGTGAGCTGGGACTCAGGACTCCACCAGCTCTGAGTGGCTTGGATGCATTTGTGTGTGATTTGCATGCACTTTGCAAGTGCCTTGGAGACTTCTGAAATCTCTGTTAGCAGACACCGAAGGGTCTACCTGGCACATACTAAGGCAGGACTCACCGAGGGCAAAGGGTTGGCTCAGTGGATAGTTAAGTGCCTGCCGCACACACCAACTTGCTCCTTCCTTCTCTCCCTCCTAGGACCTGGCACAGGGCAACAGAGGGAAGCAGGGAGGAAGGGAGGAAGGCTGGCCTTCCTGGGGGGGCTCAGCTCCTGCGGTCCATCCACCCCATCAAGAAGCTCTCCCCCACTCAAGATGAGATGTGCATCCCCCTATCTTTTTCCTCCTCTGCCCACCACAGCCAATGCCCGTGGAGGAAGACAGCGGGCAGATCCAAGGGTACCTTGTCTCCTGGAGACCCTCGGGCCAGGCTGGAGCAGTCCCACCCCTCTGCAACACCACCGAGCTAAACTGCACCTTCCACTTGCCTTCGGAAGTCCGGGAGGTGGTCCTTGTGGCCTACAACACCGCCGGGACCTCCCGCCCCACCTCTGTGGTCTTCTTGGAGAGCACAGGTAAGGGCTGGCAGCTAGTAGAGCATGGTGGTTAAGCATGTACATTTGAAGGCTCAACTGCCTGGTTCAAACCTAGTCCTGTCACTTGCTAACAGTGTGGCCTGGGCCAGTTACTTAACCTCCCTGGCCTCTGTTTACTCATCTAGCAACTGGGGGTGATACAGCACCTACCTCAAAGGGTTGTTGTGAAGATTACGAGTTAAGACATGTGCCTGGCACATAGTAACTGTTCAGTATGTGTTAGCCATTATTATCATGAACCAGAACCAGGTTAAGCTATGGTGGTGCCTACACACACACACACACACACACACACACACACACTCACACACACACACACAGTCTTCTGCCAAGGAAGATGGTAGAGAAAGCCCTACGTTTTTCCAACTGGAACACGGTCCCTGAATTGATTGGTCATTCTCCAGGGACCAGCCACCACCACCCCCAGGTTCCTCGGAACATGGGTCCTCACAAGGTGTGACTAACAATAGCAATAGCTAATATTCCCACTGTCTAGCTGCATACCTCAGACGTTACTTAACCTCTCTGTGTCTGTTTTCTCATTGATAAAACGGGGACAGTAGTAGTGTCCCTGTCATGGGACTGTTAGCAGGCACCAAGGACTCTACCTGGCACGTACCAAGAACGCCATAGTGTTGGCTTTTGTAGACTCTATAAGGGAAGAACTTTTATCATCATTTCCATTTCACAGATGAGGAAACTGAGGCTCAGATATTGACTTGTAAGGAGCAAAGCCAGGATTTGGACCCAGGCTTCTGGCTCTAGGGCCTGTATTCTTTTCATCTTCATCCCATCTTCTCCTACTCTGTCTCCAGGTCCACCGCTGGGCAGACTCCATACCATGGCCCGAGACCCTCACAACCTCTGGGTGGGCTGGGAACCCCCCAGCCCTCGGCCTCGGGGCTATGTGATTGAATGGGGCCCGGGTCCCCCCAGCCCCAGCGGCAGCCATATGACTTGGAAAATGGAGCATAATGGAAGCATTGCAGGGACCCTGCTACAAGGTGAGGCAGGCCTGGGAGATGGGGAGGCAGTGGGCCAGGGGCAACCTGAACCACCCTGGACAAATAGATTCCCAAGCCTTTCTTGATCCTTCACTGGTCTCACCTCATATCCACAGAATCAGAAAGTTCCTCTTGCAGTCTAACTGGATCCTCTCTTGCTATAGCTCTGACTCTGCCACCCTTCTAGCTCTCTCTCTCTTCCACTTGTTTCCCCTTACCCCGACCAAACGATCTGAAGAAGAAGCTAGGCCCAGGTTAGCCCCGACTAGAGGTCTGAGGTTAGCTCCTGATCATCAGCAGAGGTTGCCCCTAACCAGGGTGCCTCCCCATTTTCTCTCCACAGAGAACATCAGGCCCTTCCAGCTCTATGAGATCACTGTGACCGCCCTGTACCAAGACACCGTGGGACCCTCCCAGCGCATCTACGCCTACTCCCAAGAGACGGGTTCGCCAGCCATCAGGCCCCTCCTCAGAATCTCCTCGATCTCAAGGCCTGCCTAGGCCCCACCCACCAGCACTAGGAGGAAGCATTTCCTTCCTCCCCAACCTCTGGCCCAAGGAGGGGTCCCCCCCAGTCCTAAGATCACCCCTGGCTTACACTGGCCCCCTGTGGCTACAAAGAAGTCAGGTGGTGGGGTGATAGAAATTAGGCAGTGGGTTTGGCGGAATGCAGGGAGCAAGTCTGGCAAAACTCAGTCCATTGTCCTGACAGAAATAAGGTGTCACGTGTGATAGAAATAGAGAGAGGGCCTGGCATCACTTCAGAGAGTGACGGGCAGAAATCGAATAGTGAGTAGGCCAAATTCAGGCCTGGGAGGAATCAGGGAGTCAGAGAGAACCAGGTGCAGATCCTGATTGGGCCACTTATTAGAAGTAGATGGGATTCGGTCCAAGTTCCCGAGACAATGAAGCTGGGATGGGCATATCCTCAGACTCTGATGTCACCCACCTCTCAGTGTGTCCCAGTTCTTGGGTCTGAGGAGCCACGAGAAGTCCAGCCGGGCTCTCCACCCGGCCCCTGTCAACCTGCACCTCTCTCTTCCGGCAGCCCCCTCCTACACCCCGGAGCTGCATCTAAAGCACATTGGCAAGACCTGGGCCCAGCTGGAGTGGGTGCCCCCAACCCCTGAGCTGGGGAGGAGCCCTCTTACCCACTACACCATCTTCTGGACCAATGCTCAGGGCCAGTCCTTCTGTGAGTCTGTCCTCAGCCCCAGAATGCCCGGGAGGGAGCAGCCTTGGAAGGAGCCTTGGCATCGGGGCCCAGCTGACCATTCTCCTCTATTCCCAGCCACCATCCTTAATGCTTCCTCCCATGAGTTTGTCCTCCCCGGCCTGGAGCCTGCCAGCTTGTACCACGTCCACCTCATGGCTGCCAGTCAGGTGGGGGCCACCAACAGTACAAGCCTCACCCTGATGACCTTAGCTCCAGGTAAGGGGAGGAAGGGGCTGGCCAGACAGGGCTGTTGGGAGGGTGCCTCAGACAAAAGATCTTCATTTTTAGAGTAGACAAGGCTGGCCTGGATCTCCTCCAGGTCCAAGGGAAGAGACCTAGCCCTGCCCTTGGATCCTAGTCTGAGAGAGGAGGACCAGCCTTACTCTCACACACTCTAATCTCTCCTGGCTTTCCCCTCACCCCAGGGGAGTTCGAGCTGCGCATCTTCCTGGGCCTGTTCGGCCTCCTGCTCTCGCTCATCTGCCTCTGTGGGGCTACCCGGTTCTGCTGCAGACCCAGGTGAATCCAGAGATCTGACACCCAGATACCCCTCCCCACAAGGAACTGCAGCCCCCCCCCCCCCCCCCGCCCCCAGCCTTCTCAGGCCTCAGGGCCCGTGTCTGGGAGTCAGGCCCTCCACCTTCTCCTCTCTGCACTAAGCAGCCATGCCTTCAGCTGCGGGGGGATGGGTGGGAGACAGGCTGGAAAGATGGGAGGGCATGCCTGGCCCTACCTTTACCTGCCCCCTTCTCCAGCAGGAAGAATTCCCTCTGGCCAAGTGTCCCAGACCCAGCCCACAGCAGCCTGGGCTCCTGGGTGCCTAGCATCCCTGCGGAGGTGAGAACCCTGGAGGAGGAGGGAAACGGGACTGGGGGTGTGGGCCCAGGTTCAAAGTGAAGAGCTGCCCCTCTGAGGATGAATACTCAGGCCTTCCCTTCACTTCCTAGCAAGATGCACTCCCTTTGGAGTAAAGCAGACCTGAGTTTACCCAGTTTATCCCAGCTCTACCCATTTCAAAACCTCAGACATCCCCCTGTGAAATGAGACTAATCAATCCCACACAGAACTGTTGGAGAGATTCACCAAGATGAGTCTGAACAGCACATAGCACATAACACGAACATATGAGGAGCTTTGCAGGTGCAAATCTTTGAGTTTCAACCGACAGCCGCAGAAAGGTCCCCACACTGACCCAGCTCAGGCAGGGACAGTGGCTGGGGCAGACATCTGAAATGAATCGTGCCCTCACCCCATGTCCCTGTCTCCAGGAGATCTTCCAGCTGCCCAGCCTTTGGGACACCAACATGCCACCCATCACCAAGATCACGGTGCTGGAGGAGGAAGAAAAGAAGCCTGGGCCCTGGGAGTCCCATGAGAGCTCAGGAACCTGTGGCCTTCCCGCCCTGGTCCAGGACTATGTGCTCCAGGGGGACCCAAGAGCATCTACTATCCAGCCCCAGGCCCAGTCAGGCAACAGTGACCAGGTCCTTTACGGACAAGTGATGGGCAGCCCCTCCCGCTCAGGACCAGCGGACTACATCCGCTGCGACTCCACTCAGCCCCTCTTGGGGGGCCTCACCCCGAGCCCCAAGTCCTATGAGAACCTCTGGTTCCAGACCAGCCCACAAAGGACCCCAGAGCCTCTAGGCCCCAACCAGGAGGATGACTGCGTCTTTGGGCCACTGCTTGACTTCCCCCTCCTGCAGGGGCTCCAGGTCCATGGGGTAGAAGGGCTAGGGGGCTTCTAGGGCTTCCTGGGATGCCCCCGCTGGGTCTGCCTCTTGAAAGGCTGGGGCCATCAGAGAGGAGGCGAGGGTCAGAAGGCCCGTCACTAAAAAACCACCCTGCCCCAGGACAGACAGGAAGGCTCCCGGTTTCCCACTGTCTGAGGCCCCCAGCACCCCTCCCCATGTGCCTAGTACCCATGGGCTGGGCCCTCCCACTGCCAAGGTCAGGAACGGCTTCCCCCAGCCTGTCCACTACAGTGCCTTCTGTACTTATTTCGTCATTTCCATCTCTTAAACTGGTCTATGGTTCCATTTGACTTGGCTTTATTTTAAGAAACTCTTCTGTGTGCCTGAGTCTCTGTTCTTTTCCTTTTCAGGACCCTGGCATTTGGGGGCGGGGTCTGTGCCTCTCAGAATTGTCGGTTGGTTGATTTTTTTCCTTCATTCATTCAACCAGAACCCTACTGGCAGCAGGGACTCAAGAAGGCCTTGGCTTAGTAGTCCATTCTCAGAGAGCTCCATTTTAGTGGAGAGTCGAAAACTGACCACGAGGACCCAGTGGCCAGGGTTACCTGGAGGGAGTCACAGAGTGCAACATAGGAATACAGACCTCAGAAAAAAGTAACTTCTGTTGGGGAAATATAATTCAAAACAAAATCTCCCGCCAACCCAGAAAAACTTCTCTACAAAGGCAGAAAATGAAGAAACCAGTTTTATTACTGAACGAGCATTAAACCAGAATGTGATGTGCACCACAGGCAATTAGCTAAAGGGCTTGCAAAGACAAGAAGAAATCATACTCTTGCCGGGCTGGTGTTGCTCAGTGTGTGAGCCTTGACCTATGAACCGAGAGGTCACGGTTGATTCCCAGTCAGGGCATATCCCCAGGGTGGGGCAGGCAGGAGTCAGCGGATAAATGACTCTCTCTCATCACTGATGTTTCTATCTTTCTCTCCCTCTCCCTTCCTCTCTGAACTCAATAAAAAAAATATTTAAAAAGAAATTGTACTCTTTTATATAGCCAAGTGGATCTGACTTAATACATATATTTTCTCAAGATAACTAGTTCTTAAGCAAGAGGACCTGACAGCATCATTTGTCACACAGGGGTCATTCTAAAGTCACCTGATAAATGGGGTAGTCACCTGTATTTGCTATCTGCATTTATCCAAAAGAAAAATAAATTTCTCATCCTATATAATCCTATATAATAAAAGCATAACATGCAAATCGACCAAATGGTGGAACAACCGGTCACTATGATGCATACTGACCACCAGGGGGCAGACACTCAACGCAGGAGTTGCCCCCTGGTGGTCAGTGTGCTCCCACAGGGGGAGTGCTGCTCAGCAAGAAGCCAAGCTCACCACTGGTGAGCACAGAGGCGGTGGCAGGAGCCTCTCCTGCCTCCGCTGCAGGCAGGCGGTAAGGAGCGAGGGGTTCCAAACTGTGAGAGCACTGGATTGCAAGAGAAATGTCTGAGTGCTGGGGATCGGGCCTAAGCTGGCAAGTGGACATCCCCCAAGGGGTCCCTGACTGCGAAAGGGCACAGGCCGGGCTGAGGGACCAACCCCCCCAAGTGTACGAATCTTGTGGACCGGGCCTCTAGTATCTTTATGAGAGGACATAGGTTTGCAACTTGGAGCTAGGCACTAGCTGAAGTTAGGCTCCTAGCCTGCCTCCCACAGAAACTGGGAGGGAGATAGGAGCACGATCTTCCTTAATAACTGCATTTCAAAGAGATGGCTCCGAGGTCCTACAGCAGCAGTTCTCAACCTGTGGGTCGCGACCCCTTTGGCTGTCCAACGACCCTTTCACAGGGGTCGCCTAAGACCATCCTGTATATCAGATATTTACATTACGATTCATAACAGTAGCAACATTACAGTTATGAAGTAGCAACGAAAATCATTTTATGGTTGGGTCACAACATGAGGAACTGTATTTAAAGGGCCAGAAGGTTGAGAACCACTGTCCTAGAGAAAGGCACTCCTGGGTTGTAAAACTGGCAAGAGGCTTACTTAGCTTTTAAAAAAATGTACACACATTTCAAAAGGGCAGAAAGAATTCACAATTAACAAGTATTCTTTTCTCTTTTTTGCCACGGGGAGAATTAAGTGTTATTTTCCCTACTTTTAATTTGGATTTGTCCTTACATTTCACAAATATTATCACAGCTACTGCTTATTGAATGTTCACTAAATACCAGATGCTTCGCACACAACTGCCTCAATTAACCCTCTAGCAACCTAAAGGATAGACACTGTTACTGCCATCCCCCTCTGAGGGATGAGTACACCGTGGCCCGGACAGGCTGGGTGGCTTGTCCACAGGATCACATGGCGAGTAAAAGGCTGAGGTAGGATTCCAGCCCAGAGCTGTCTGATTCCAAAGTCAGCGACCTTCACCACCAGGCTACGAAGCTGTCAGAGAGGAGGCTGAAACCCAGGGCCTCATCCTGGACTTGGGGGGGGGGGTTGGGGGGGTTGGAAGGAGTGAATATTAGTTCGGGAGAGAAGGCTACAACAGACCCCACGGAAGCCCCCAAAATAATCGGGGCCGAGATGAGAGACGCAGAGTGGGATTCAGGGCGGGGTGCGCGCCCGAGAAAAAGGGGCATCTTAGAGTGTAGATGGCACCGCACCCCACTAACGCGGTCGGGCAACCACCAAGTCCCCCACCTGGGGCGACCGCTAACCCCACCTCCCCGCTCGCGCCGGCCCGCGTCATCGCCGAGCCCCGCCCCTGCGATCAGCCGCTCGGTCCTCCTCTGCTCCGGTCTCGCGGCTGCACTCGATTGGTCGAGCCTGAGCCAGCATGGCGGCGCCCATGTAACCCGCTCCGCACCGCGAAGGCCACGGCGCCGCCGCCGCTGGGGTCAGAGGCCACCATGCTGAGGGCGGCGCGGAGGGTGCTGAGTGCCGTCCGGACCCAGGCCCGGGTCCTCGGGCTGCCGGGGGGAGGGTGCGCCCGGCTTCCTTCCGACCCCCGGGTCCTCCCCTCCCCTCCCCGCGGTGAGGAGCTGAGAAACGGGACTGCAGGAGTAGGGGAAGGGTTCGGCGGAGGTGGAGGCGGGTAGGGGAGAGAGGGAGGGTGGCGGGTAGGGAAGGAGTGAGACGAGGTGGGGGAGGCACAGGCAGCGGGGTGCAGGAGCCATGGACGGCGTGAAGGCGCAGGGGTGCGGAGCCATGGACGGCGTGAAGGCGCAGGGGTGCGGGAGCCATGGACGGCGTGAAGGCGCAGGGGTGCGGGAGCCATGGACGGCGTGAAGGCGCAGGGTGCAGGCACCTTGGAGGAAGGGCCGTAGGAAGGAATCGAGGCTGGACTATTAAGGCGATGGCCTCAGCCTCTCTTTTCTGCACAGGTCTCCTCCCGGCCGCCCGCGGCTATGCCATCCGGAGACCAGGTAGGAGCTCTCGGACGGGACGCGGGCGGAACTTGGGGCGGAAGAGAGGGTGCCCCGGAGGCTTGGGGTGGCGGAGAGGCCGGAGGCGGCTGGGTAGCCACGAGGTGGGGTGGGCCCGAGGTCCTACAACAACCGCGTCCACCTTGTCGCAAAGCTTCGGCCTGAAGCCCGCGTGCGGGGCGGGGGGCGTCGGGGCGCGGGAGCAGGAACCTTCCGCCCGGGTGAGAGTGGGAGGGAGCCAGGCAGGGGGGCCTCCCCAGGCCTACCTAGGAGACAGCCAGCCCTTGCCCTTCCGAGGGGCAGGGGGGTTTCCCCTCCGAGGCAGTCTGCACGTCGGTGAAGTTAGTGACACTGGGCAATCGCTTCCTCGCTCAGTCTCATTCTAAAATGAGTGTGGGAGTATCTGTTTGAGCGGATCGTTGTTGGGACTCGATGACACATGAAAAGCATCCTTAGTACTGTGTGCAACAAACGGTAGTATGTATTTGTATTTATTGCTATTCTTTGCATAGCGGCAGAGTAGGGTTTGACCAGAGGGGACAGGTTGCTCTCCCCCATACCTCTCCCTCTCCCTCACCTCCAAGCGAAGACAGGGATGCACACGCCAGGGCTCAGGGTTTCCTGTATTTGGTGCTTACAAGTGTCCCAAAGCTAGGGTTCCCTCCTCAACCCCCTTACTTCATTCACGCAGTCAGCGGGCAGTTGTTTTGTTGAGTGCCTGTTCCATGCTGGGCTATGGATCAGACTCGGGCAAGGGGAGGGGGGATTCAAAGGAAGTTACATTCAGTCCACATCCTGTTGGGGATGTGATAACTGTAGAGCCAGACAGGTGTGAGAGGTGACAATACAGGGTCTTGGGAAAGGCCATCTACTCCCAGCGTGAAATATCGGGGGCAGGTGCCCAGGGAGTTTGCAGAGGAGAAACCGAGCCCACAGATGTCCACACCTTGCTGGAGACCCTGGGTGTCTCTGATAGAGCTGGTGAGAAGAGTGAAGTCTGGGAGGATGGGCAATGAGTTAACTCTGGGTGTTTTCCATCCTTCCACTTGACAGTCCGGCCCAGCCAAGAAGATGACCTGCCCCCTTCCACGCTCCTCAAAGATTACCAGGACGTCCCTGGAATTGAGAAGTAAGCAGGAAAAAAATCTCTTTGGTGAAGCAGGGGGCCCTGGGAGGATTGGCGAGGAGAGGGGGGAGACAGTGGCTTCGAGGCCCAGCCTGATCTATCTGAAGCTTGATTATAGAATGGGGCCGAGAACTGTAGCAGCCCAAGCATGATGAGGGTGAGTGGGCAGCAGGGACAGGTGGAGCTTGTGGGGCTTAACTGATGACTTTTTTTGTGCTCTGGGTGAAGACCCTATACCAGTGGTCAGCAAACTGTGGCTCGCGAGCCACATGCGGCTCTTTGGCCCCTTGAGTGTGGCTCTTCCACAAAATACCACGTGCAGGCGCGCGTGTACAGTGGGATTGAAACTTCATGGCCCATGCGCAGAAGTCGGTATTTTGTGGAAGAGCCACATTCAAGGGGCCAAAGAGCCGCATGTGGCTCGCGAGCCGCAGTTTGCCGGCCACTGCCCTATACTATTAGATACCAAGGAGGTAACATGCCTCAGGTTTTTTTTAGAAATCTCTCATGTCTTGATCCTCTCAAAAATCTCTGTAAGGTAAGACATACTATCCTCATGTTATAGATTATCAAGCTGCCCAATGTCATACAGCTCCAATGGGACAGAGCTAGGGTTTGAATCCCCGGCCAAACACCACCAAGGCCAGGATCCTCCTGCTCGGCCTGTTGTACGGTGGTAGCTGGGCAGTCCCTCTTGCCCCTCCCACTGTGCAGTGTGACTTGAGAGAGAAACAATGATTATAGAATTGAAGTGTCTCAAAACAGATTGAACCATATTCTAGCTAAAACGGAAATCCTCTTTTACCCTCCCTATGGCGATCCTGGAACACTCGAGCTGACAGCCTCAATTTTCTGTAGTTATTACGTCGTTCCATGTTCTCAGCCCAGCAGGTCAGATGCAGGTTGACTTCTAATCTGTGGGAGATGGCTCCCGACTTCCAGAGAGACTCATTTGTTGTAAAAGAAGTTTTTTAATCATCCTTGCTTTGCCAACTAAAATGAAAACAGCATTGCTTCCCTTTTCTCCTCTACCCTAACATCTCTCTCTCATTGCTGTGACTTTTCCACAGGGTTGATGATGTCGTGAAAAGACTCTTGTCTTTGGAAATGGGGAATCAGGTGAGTGGCCTGTGCCAAACCTTGGCCTCCCTCAGTCCTCTCCTCTGGGACTCCCTCCTATCCTGGTAGCACCTCCCATCCCATGCTTTTCAGGTAGCAGCACATGTACCGGTGTCACTCTGTCTGCTTGTTAATACCTCGAGACTGAGCGCTTAAGGGCAGTGACAATCTTGTTCCCCACAATACCCCTAGCACCTGACAAACAGTAGGTGCTCAATAAAGATCTGATGTCTGAATGAATGAGCAAGCTTTAGGGACATTCATCCAACTAGCCATTTCTCCTGTCAGTAGCCTTGGCCTTGGGCTCACCTAGATGTGAATAGCCAAGTGGTTGGCAGAGGCCAGGCCCTGGTAGCAGAGTGAAGTCAGGCCCTGAGCTTTATGGCCTCGTTGCTATGACTGAAGCCCATGGCCTTGGGGGTGTGAGGACCAGATCTTATGATGGGGTAGCAGACTTCATAGACTCTCTCTATCTTCAACAGAAGGAGAAGCTAAAAATCAAGAAAGAACAATTGATGAACAAGGTTGTGGCAAACCCTGAGGACACCAGATCCCTGGAGGCTCGAAGTTGGTTAGGGGGCCCTTGGGGAGTGTGGGTTAAGGGGGGGCTGCTACCTGGTACTTGATCCAGGGCCCTCATCTGCAAATACATAGGGATTAGATGTGGCTTATTAAAGGAGAGAAAGAAAGAACCATGGATAATGAAACTGGACTGTGTGTCCTGAGCTGTGTGATGTTGGAGTCACTGCCCAGATCCTGCTTCATAGCTCTCTGTGAGCTCAGGCAGGATTCCTCAGGAACCCAAGTTCGTTCTCTCTCTCTCTCTCTCTCTCTCTCTCTCTCTCTCTCTCTCTCTCTCTCTCTCTTTGCCCACCTTTGCAGGAATCAAACAAGAGGATACCTGAGGAAGGATATTCTGGGGCTTTAGGAGATGAGTGGGAGTTGATAATTCTGAAAACTCATTTGTTAAAAACAGAGATAAGGGTGGTAGCTGGAAGGGGAGAGGCAAGGAGCAGACCCTTGGCAGTTCGGGAATTTCATCTTATTGCATTGGCTAGGACCTCCAGTGCAGTGTCGAATCATTAGCCATGATAGCATGCATCCTAAACTAATTCCTGAATTTAATAGGAATGCTCTAAAGTTTTACTGTAAAAATGCTATTTGCTATGGTTTGGGGATATAAGATTAAGGAGCTTCCCTTCCTTAGGCTTTGCTTGCTAAAGCAAAGATAATCCAAAATCTTTTGAGATCTTGGAATTACAGAGAGCTGTACAAAAGCCTTGGTGATTGTTATTCCTTGAGGTCTTAATACATAACCTAGGCCCCAGGCCCCAGGCCGTTCCTTCCTCTGTGCCCAGCTCTCATCCTCTGTGGTTTGTGGTTTCAGTTGTTGCCTTGACTGTCAAGATCCGCAATTATGAAGAACACATGCAGAAACATCGAAAGGTAAGCCTTGAGCATCACTCACAACTAAACACCAGCAGCTGGGCCAGAGGAGTCTAAGAGATAAAGGGCTCTGGGTCCTAAGGGTCAGCTTGAGATGCCAGGAGGCTACAGCACCAGAGTGCCCACTCCTCAGTGAGGTAAACATTTCCTTTCTGCCTCCAGTAGAGAAATGGAAGCCTTTCAGGGCTGTGCTGAATGTCACCCATGGTCACAGTGTCTGGCACCTAGTGGATGCTCAGTAAATATTTGTTGAATGCATAAATAGGGTCAGATTGCTCTGGGTTCAAATCCAAGCTCTGCCACTTCCACTTAACTAGTTAGGTGATTCTGGGTAAGTTACTTTACATGTCTGAACCTCAGTTCTGTCTGTAAAATGGGAATTATAATATCTACTGACAGGATTGCAAGGACTATATAAAATAAAAGCAGCCAACATGATGCAAATATAGTATTTAGGCTTCTTCCTAAATATTTTACATGCATTAGCTCATTTAATCCATCTTCCTGTCCCACTTTACAGAGGAATAATCTAGGCATGGAGAGGTTAAGTTATTCTCAAGGCACAGCACTAGGAAGTGAGTGCTAGGACTTCAAACTAAGGGGTCTGACTCCAGGGCCCATATTCTTAACCCTTATGCCGTATCTCAGCACAGTGTCGGGCACAGAGCTGCTGTAATTAGGCAGTTGCTAGTATTTTTAACAAGCACACAGTTTGTGAATGCAGACCGGTCCAGCTCCAGGCTGGCATCTCAGTGTTCTCCGGAAGCTGGTTGAGCCTGTTCCTCGGAGGTCAGAGTTTTGTTCTAGAATGTGGAACACCAGCCGCACTGCAGAACTTTCGTGGAGCAGCACCTCGCTGTGGGTAGGGGTCTCCAAGAAGAGTGAAAGTTCTTCCCTCCCTCTGCTCCATCTGAAAGTTTGCTGAGCTCTGGAGAGGCTGAGTGAGTAGTGTCGGGAAAGAGCATGAAATTTAGAGTGAGACGAGTATATCGATATTCAAGACCTGATAACATTGCTGACCCTTTATTTTCCCATCTGTAAAATAGGAATAACAATACCTACCTCAGAGTTGCCCTAGTATTTGCAAGAGATTGTTGGGCGACTTCAGGGAGATGATGAGATTACTATCCTTTGTTACTATAAAGTGGCACACCACTTATTTATGTAATACTGAAAGGGATACCAACCTTCTTCCAGGACAAAGCTCTCAAGCGCTATCTGATGATGAGCATTGACCAGAGGCAAAAGATGCTCAAAAACCTCCGTAAGACCAACTACAGTGTCTTTGAGAAGACGTGCAAGGGCCTGGGGATTGAGTACATCTTCCCCCCTATGTACTACCGAAAAGCCCACCGCCGCTGGGTGACCAAGAAGGCTTTGTGCATTCGGGTATGAGTCCAAATTGCTGCTTTGGTTGGTCCCGTTCTGGGACTGTGGTGGAAAGATCAAAAGGGAGGGGTTGTCACTTTCTGATAAAGGCATGGAACTGGCGCCAAGGCCTTAACCCCATGGAGAAAGGCTGTGTTCCAGCTAGGGGAGTCAGTTCCCAGCCCGTTTGCTCCCAGTCAGAGTTTTTACATAGAATTACAAAGTCTTTTTTTGTAATCTCCAGGTTTACCAGGAGGCTCAAAAGCTCAAGAAGCAAAAAAGGGCCTTAAAAGCAGCAGCAGCAGCCCAGAAACAACACCTGATGAACCCAATAAGCTCTCCCAAAGCTGAACCAGAGGCAGTCAAGGAAAACCAATAAATTTTGTTGAAGTTTTATCTTTCTGTCTTGAAGAATAATAGAAGGTGGGGCTCTTTGTGGCCTGAGGAGTTCATTCATTCATTGTTATTCAGCTCTGGGATCCCAGGGTTGTCTGAGGCAGAGTCCCTGCCCTCGCGCATCAGGCAGGACACACTCTCACAGCACCTCACACACGCACAACTCCGTCATCCAGGTGGTATTTCAGTGGAGGTGAGACCACAGCAGCAGAGGAAGCATGCTGGCTGGCTGCTGGGTGAGAAGGCCAGGGAAGTGTAGATGACTCTAGAAAGGTAGTTGGAGTGCCCTGAAGGCCATCTATCAAATAGCAGGAAGCCGCTGAAGATATGTCTTGTTGAAAGTGGTGTCTTCTGAAATTTAGCCTAGCAGCCAGTACGGCTGGAGGAGAGAAAGGAGCAGTAATATGGAGGACCTCAGCAATGCAGACAGAGTAAGAAATAGAGGAAAATAGAAATATTTTGGAGGAAAAAACAGAACTTGGTGACTGATAATAGGACCCAGGGCGACAGAGTTGGAAGCCTAGGCTCAGGTTTCAAGTCTGAGTGGCTGGAAGGAAAGATGATTAGTAGGTTTTACAAATATTGAAATTTTACAGAAATGATTGCTCATCAACTTAAAAATGTGCAGCAGATGAAGGAAAGGTGATCCTGGAAGGCAAGATGGGGGTGAAGGATGGGAAGCTGCTTAGCAGCTGGAAAGAGGGGCGCTTGGGGTCCCCAGCACAACCTCCAGGAGCGAGCAAACAGGGTTGGGATATAGGCCAGTGGGCTCCACTCCAAGTGGCATTAGGGAGGACATGCAAATAATTCAAGGACTTCTGGTCCTTGCCGCATCTAAGAAGAGTCGGTTACGTTAGTGCTTTAATGGCACTTGACATGATCTCACTGATTCTTCAGCAACCCGATGCGCTGGGTGTCCTTTCTAATTTAAGAAAAAGGAAGCTCCTTACTAAATGGTTAAAATAGACTTGCAGGCCAATCTTAAATAGGGTGGGAGGGGCTGAGGGTGGGGTGGGCAAAGAAGTTTTGATATAAACAAAACAAATGCACTTTGGGTGTGTTTTGGTATTTTTCTGGGGCTAGAGGGTGGGTTGGGATGTCCCTGTAGGTTAGGTCCAGAACGGGCTGTCTGTATATATATTGTAGTAATAGGCATGTTTGACTTGTGAAGGGACATTAGTAGCTGCTGCAGGTCCTGTTTGGAACCCCATGTACAGTTCCCAGTTTTTTGTGTCAGTGCGGGAGGCATTTGACTCTTGTGTTTGTATCTCCTTTTTATGATTGCTGTACTGACCCATGTCTTTTGGGGGAGGGGTGAAAAGAGATTTGAAATAAAACTGTTTAGAAATTACTTCCAAAAAGAAAAAGGAAGCTCCGCCTCTACACGGCTGTGCGGTCGCACCCTCGGCTCGGAGACTGCTCTAAAGATTCGCCTGGGTTGTCCTCGTTCTCGGGCACCTGCGCACGCGCCCGGGCTGGGTGAGGGTGTCACGTTTCTCGGCGCCAGCCCCTGTCGCCCACCAGCCGGGCCGGCCCTCGCCCCTCCGCGCAGCTTCCGAAAGTCAAAACCAGCGTTCCCGCCAGGGGCCCGCCTCCGGCCCGGACCAATCGGCCGCGTAGGTCTCGGGCACCAAGCCCAATAAGCGTACTCCCCCGGGCGCCTCCCAACAAGGGGCCTGCTGATTGGCTAGTTTTGCCGTCCGCTGCGTTGCCCTAGCAACCAGGTTACGAAGACGCGGTGGTTGGGCCTTCAAGTCTCCAGCGACCCAGCTTTGGGTCTCTTCGCCAGCTCTCCGCGCTTTCGGCATCATGTCGGTGCGGGCGCTACCGCTGCTCTTCTTGAACTTGGGCGGGGAGATGCTTTACATCCTGGACCAGCGGCTGCGGGCCCAGAACATCCCCGGAGACAAGGCCCGCAGAGGTGAGAGACGCCCGGCCTGCACAGCCAGCCCCCTTATAGACTGACCAACACCCCTGCACACTGCGCTCTTATAACCGGGGACTCTTCTCACGACGTCCACAGGCCCATCCAGTCAGGGCACCTCAGGAGCCAAATTCCCCAAAAGGTCTTTTCACAGCAGAGGGATTTAATACCCTCCTTGGATGTTATTACGGTACCTCATGCCCCCTCCCCCAATTCCCTCCTCCCCTAATTGGCGAAATGATTTCCCAATCTCTCTTGACAGCCAGTCCCTCCCAAATACCTGGTGTCATCCTCTTTGCTAGTCCAAGCATCCTCTTTCCCCGCATGGACAGGTTCTGACTCTCCATTCCTCTGTGTGGTGTCCTCCTTTTTAAACTGGAAGCCAATCTTACTAATTTCAGAAGCTATTCCTGGAAAGGTGAGGTCCTGAGATAACATAGATAAATTAGAAAACAAAAGAAAAGTATAATTCTTTCCCATCCCAATTGTTGGAAGAGAATATAATTGTGGAAATAATTATGTGTCTGCTTCTAAAATGTAAAATCTGTCTCCCATCTACACCCCGTCTAATCCCCAGAGAAAGGACCACCCAGAATTCTCTGCCATCCTTTCTCTCTCCCTCTTTTCCTCCCTCTCAAACAACAATTGCTTTCACCAACTTTCCTGGGATTACATATTATATTTCAAGGTAGAGGAAGAAAAGTTGATATAAAGGTAATTGACATGGTCACAATTAAAACATTTATTCCCTTCAATAGTATCTGTATGCTCAGTTGACGTTAAGCATACATATTCAGATATTCACCATTGGGTCTGTGCTATTGAGTCCAAGTCCATTCATAAAGAGAGAAAAAGAGCTCCCTATAGCACACCCCTCCATCCATCTCATACCCTGCTGCCAGCGCACTTTTTGACATGTAACTCTGTCCATAGTCCCTGCTACTTAAAACCCTTTGTCAGCTTTCCACTGCTGTCTGAGCAGAGGCCAAGTCCTTGTCAGGACACTTCAGGACCCTTCCTGATCTGATTTCTGTCCACCTCTGAAGTCCCACCTTCCACCACTGCCTGCCTGCCTCCTACTTTGTCTATTAATACCAAACTGCCTGTGGGTCTCCATTTAAAGCATGTTCATTCTTGTTTCCATGCTAGTAATCTCCAGTCTAACCCCATATCTCCCACTTCTGTGCTAGTAAGTCTCCTTTTGTCCTGCATTATTCTGCTTAAGATTCATTTCCTTTCCCACATGGGAAAGAGCCCGCACATACTCCCATAGCACCCATCCGTGTCCCTCTACCTTATCACTGACCATGTTACCCTGTATTGGTCCATGTGTGTGTCTCCCCCCACATGATTGTCTTATTCATCTTTGTACTCCAGCCCCTAGTATACCTAGACCAGAATAAATTGGTGCTCAGTAAATGTTGAACTGATTATTTAAATTCATTGTTTTTGTGTAACATTGCCACTTCTTCCTCTAGAACAGTGGTTCTCAACCTGTGGGTTGCAACCCCTTTGGGGGTCGAACAACCCTTTCACAGGGGTCGCCTAAGACCATCGGAAAACACATATATAATTACATATTGTTTTGTGATTGATCACTATGCTTTAATTATGTTCAATTTGTAACAATAAAAATACATCCCGCATATCAGATATTTACATTACGATTCATAACTAGCAAAATTACAGTTATGAAGTAGCAACGAAAATAATTTTATGGTTGGGGGTCACCACAACATAGGAACTGTATTAAAGGGTCGCGGCATTAGGAAGGTTGAGAACCACTGCTCTAGAAGGTTCCGTTTTCCTTGGCACCTATGTTGTGTGTGTTCATTTGGGTGAATGGCGTTACTGAGCTGGCAGTCAGCTCTTAGATGGGTAGTCTACATCTCGGAAGGCGGTGTAAATTAGCAATTAAGGGCATGCTCTCTAGCGTCATACAGATATGGATCCCAATTCCAGCTTTGCTATTTAACTAGTTGTACAACCTTAGAATGTAACCTCTATAAGCCTGTTTCTTTTTCCATAAAATGGGAATAATCATACATCCTATTAGCCAAGCCATAAGGATTGAATGAGATAATGTATGTATTCAATATATTTAGCATAAGAAGTAGCAGATGTTGTCTTTCAAGAGGAGGTCTGGACAAGACCTGTGAATACTGGGGGACTGGCTTCTTTGTCTTCAGGAGAGGTAGCCCTTAGGGGTTCGCTAGATATAGCTTTGGTCATTCACATTCACAGACTAATTCCTTCCACAGTTGGGATGAGTGTCAGATGGCACATGAGATGCTGAGTGGAGCCTGATCCAGCCCTTCTGCACTTTCACTGGAAGTAGTGCTTTTGATCAGTCTGGTTCAGTAATTGATTCTAAAAACTAGAGGACATAGCTTCTTCATGACAACAACAACAAACATTTATTAAGCACTTTCCAATGAAATGAGGACTTCCCTGAATCCCCACAACTATCCTATCATGTAGACCAGTGATGGCGAACCTTTTGAGCTCGGCGTGTCAGCGTTTTGAAAAACCCTAACTTAACTCTGGTGCCGTGTCACATATAGAAATTTTTTGATATTTGCAACCATAGTAAAACAAAGACTTATATTTTTGATATTTATTTTATATATTTAAATGCCATTTAACAAAGAAAAATCAACCAAAAAAATGAGTTCGCGTGTCACCTCTGACACGCGTGTCATAGGTTCGCCATCACTGATGTAGGTAATACTACTATCCCCATTTTACAGATGGGGAAACTAAGGCTAATTTGCCCAGGGTTACATAGCTGGTAAGAGGAGGAGTAAAGAATTTGAACCGAGACCATCGGGCTCTAGAGCTCATACTCTTAGGCACTGCACTACACTTCCATCTCTGATGGTTACTGTACCAGAATCGTTGTGGGGGTTGCAAGGTCAGGAGGAAAGGGAGAGGTTTTGGAGAAAAATATATCCAGTATACCAACTGATTTTTTAAAAGAAATGATAAAAAGTATCCTGGTTGGCTGATTGGGGACTTGTAGAAGATAGAGTGAAAAAGCAGGGTTGACAGTTTGGGATTCAAAGTTGAGCAACACTAATCTATGCCACTATAGAGATGGTGTAGCGACAGGAAGCAGGAGCTGCTGTGACAGATGCCTGTGCATGGAGACCTATAAAACACCCGACACAGTAAGCTAGTCTTCGTTGAAGCTTTGAATGGAAACCATGTTTCTTCTAGATGTTTCCATTATCTTACACAACTAAGTGGCGTCCTGGAGGCCATCCTGCTCCCACAGGGCCAGTGCAGATAGTGCAGTCCTCCCCCACCCCACCCCACCCCCCACCCCCACATCGCAGCCTCTGGCTTGGCATTCAACAGAAAGGAAGTGCTCTCTGTGGAGCAACTTCTGAGTGTTGCCTATTGAGAGTTGTCCCACATTTTAAGCAATAGTGAGAATAATAAAACCTGCCTTTGCCTCATTCCCATCCTCTTAAAAATACTCAGAAATAAGACCCTATTACATTTTGTTTACATTCTTCATTTTACAGAAGGGGAAACTGAGGCATGGAGCCATTCATTGATTTTTCCAATACGTGAAGATCACATATTGGATCCAAATGGTTGAGGTTCTATTTTTATTCTTCTAGTTCCAATGGAACAGGCAGCTCTGGATAGCCTTGGGCATGCCTCCCACTCAAGATATAACTAAAGTGGGATTGTCACAAGCAAGTCTTCTGGAGAAATGATGGAAAAAGAGGACATGATTTCACTTCCCCTGGATCTGCAAGTGGACAGGAGCCCGGAGCGCACAGCACTGCAGGGACCTCTGCCGGAGCTGAGCTTCATTGCCGTGGGAACGCCTCCTTCCCCTGGGCATGCACTTGCCAGCTTCATTTCGGCAGCAGCCGGAGTCCCTGTCCCTGGGAGTAGATGAGCCCCTTGCAGCACCGTTGTTCCCTAACACACCTTCACGAGGGTCGAAACTCCACCTTTCTGAATTCCCACCAGCCTCTTAGGCAAGACCACCTGTAACCTCAATGCCACGGCAAGATAGCAGATGTGGGCATTATGCTACCGCAGCTGGGATCTGCTTTAAGAAGGCCTGACTCTTGGTGCTGCTTCCCCAGTGTTTTCTCTCCAAACACCTATGATGGTGAATTTTCCCGGAGGAGACTGATCTTACAAAGGGAGCCCTTTGCAGCCAGTTAGGGCTCAGCATGCCCGTGCTTCCAGACTGGTCTCTTGGGAACTATTGTTATTGTGCATTGAAGACACATACATGTTTTTTTATTATAACTGCAGAAATTACCTTTGAAACAAGCTAGTGGCAGATGTTTTCAAGGGGGACCATTAGTTATGTTTTTTTAAATGTGGGTGTGTGTAGAATTCTGTTTATCTGGCAGTGGTTTTTCTATATTGAAATCTCCCCAAAATATAAAGCGGGGGAAAAGTCATCTTTCATTCTTTATGGGTAGTGCCTAGTGTCCTTCAGTAGAGAAAGAGGAACTAAAAGAGAAGCCAGCTAAGTGCTTGATATTTCGTATTTCATCCCCACAACCCTATGAGGTAGGTTCCGTGATGATCCCATTTTACAGATGAAGAAACTGACGTTAAACAAGTTGCTTGAAATTATATAGGTAGTAAATGATAGAGCCAGGTCTCAACCCATAAAGGTTCTTAGCTCGTACAGATTTCTCTAGACAAGTACATTTTCCCTTATTTGCATTCCTTTTGACGTCCCCTGATTGCTTTTGTCCTCAAGACTTTTCTTTATAGTGGCCCCATCATTACTCCCCTCTTTTTACCTGGAAGTCACACGTCTCTGTATAAAAAGTAAGTCAGAAACAAATAGACATTTTTTTCTTTTTAATTCATGTTTTCTAATTTGAGCAGTTCCGTCTGTGCTCTAGAAAGGGAAATCTTACTTTATAAAAAAATCAGGCTATACGTAAAGGAACTCCTTTGTCTACCTGTTCTTGGAATTACTCTTCCTCGTGGAAGTTAGTGTGTTTTGAAAGCCTTATTTTGAATAATATGTATTCTCGTGGCATTAGAGAGGATGACTTCTTGAGCCTTTCAAGACAAAGCCCAGGGTAGCTAGTCGATCTGAGTTTCCTCTCCTCCTAGGCCACTCTCTGTAAGTTCGAGCCTCTACGGCTTTTTTGGAACGTCTTTATCCATCATCCCTTTAAAAGTTTCACATGGAAGGTAGAGTATTCACATTAGACATTGATGCAAACATGACAACGTTTCATAGACCAGATAAATCATTGGTATTTTTAAAGCCTCCTTGAAAATGATGTTTTCGCTTCATGAACTGGTGTTTTCTTTTTGTATGCTTCGTGTAGATGAATGGACAGAGGTGGACAGAAAACGAGGTATGCTATCTCTGGGTTGCATGTATTCAGTCTGCATCCACAGTTCAGCCAGTCCTCTATCAATTGGGTTTAAAGTGGGACCACTCTAAATATCTATATCATAAAAGGCCTGTGGCCGTCACGCCATAACGGCGTCACGACCAAACTAGCAAACCGTCTGGATCAGGGCGTGGGGAGTGGTGCTGGCAGGCCAACCTCATGGCCCTCCCCGCTGCCAGCCTGTCCCTGATGGGACTCTCCCACCCACATCAAGAGCAGGGTGGCTGGCCAAACACCCCCTCTCTTCCCCCCAGCCAGCCCCGCCCCCAATCAGCCCTCCCCACCATGATAGGCCTGCAGACCCTCCCCTGGCTAGCCTCCCCTGATCACACCCCACCACCCCAATAGGGGGCGGGGCTGACCAGCCAACCTCCTGCAGCTCCTCCCCCTGGCCGGCCATGCCCCGATGGCCCCCACCACCCTGATGGGCCTGCAGCCCCTCCCCCTGGCCGGCCCCGCCCCCTGTGGGCCCCCACCACCCCGATCAGGGGCAAGGCCAGCCAGCCCACCTCCCACAGCCCCTCCCCATGGCCAGCCCCGCCCCCAATCGGCTCCCCAACCCCAATCGGGGGTGGGGCCCACCGGCCAATCACCCATGGCCCCTTCCCCCAGCCAGCCCGGCCCTGATCACCCAATCAGGGTGGGCTGGCTGGCCAACCTCCCGTCAGGCCCAGCCTCGATCCTCCCCATTGGAGCTGGGCCAGCTGGACCCCACCCGTGCACAAATTTGTGCACTGGGCCTCTAGTTTTAAAGAAAATAGTCATGAGTTTCTCTTTAGCTAAGACATTGGTTATACTATATTTGAACCTCTTGTGTAAAAACAGCATGTAAGATAAAAACCAAGCAAACTTAGGCACAAGGCCATATTGCACCTGAGGTACTTTTCTCTCTCTTCATCTTCTAAGCTTGTGGGGACCACTGGGGCAGTAGTTACACTTCTCGGCAGGTTGTCCTGTAGTGTAGTCCTTAAAGCAATTCTGTGATAGTATCATGTTACCAAAGAATTGTGGTTCAACATGAGTGGCCTTCCTTGAACCATTCTCCTTAGCACACAGAGATATCTGTTGAGCAACTGAGGAAAATGGAAGCATGTGGCTGCATGGCTGCCAGGGTTGCGGGCAGGAGGCATGATATCATGCATGCAGTATGGCCCTATCATGCCAGATCTTCAGTTTCTCCTTCACCTACAACCAGCAGCAAACCTGAAAAAGTTGCCAGTTCCTCAGAGCAAAGCCTTAGCCTTTCTCCTCTTTAAGTGTCATGAGTAGCTCTCATCATTCTGCATTTGGGTGCAATTTATGCATGTCATCAGCCATCGTCCTCAGTATTTTAAATGCTCTCACCACACCAAGTATGCTGAGGAGATAACATCAAAGATTTAAGAGGAAGGGAAGTTGAATCAAACAGCCCCATTCTAATTTCAACTCCAGCACTAGCTGCGTGACCTTGGACTTAACCTCTCTATAAGACTCAGTTTTCCTCCTTGATAGAATAAGGATAATAATCCGGAGTTGTCTTGGGGAGGTTAAATGAGATAATGCATGGAAGGTTCTAAGCCCGGTGCCTGGAACATGGTAAGAGTTTGAAGCATTGTAACCATCCAAAAGTAATAGCTTCTCTCTTTTACCCTAGGTTCCAAATTGCATGTTCCCATAAACAACAGAGGTTTCAATTAACAGGGGTGTATTAAATACTCAGTGGCTTTCATCAGGCCAGGCTCAAAGAAAAGCCCAATAGGGGTGCTTGATATGCTTTTATTATATTTCACAACCATCTTTGGCCACTTCTCTTGAGCAGTTTCTTGCCCACCCCTTGATGTGTGGCAGAATTTCAGATGAGAAGTGTGGGTTTTGAGGGCTTTTTGTATACATAACTCAGGGGTCCTCAAACTACGGCCCGCGGGCCACATGCGGCCCGCTGAAAACATTTATCCGGCCCGCCGGGTGTTTTTGCCGCCGCTGTGTGCATAGGAAGTTGTTCATAGTTTTTTTTTAAACTATAGTCCGGCCCAACAAAGGTCTGAGGGACAGTGAATTGGCCCCCTGTTTAAAAAGTTTGAGGACCCCTGACATAACTGAATCACTGGAGTCAATGTTAACTTAAGCATTCCAAAATAATGAGCAAAAACGAACTTCATAATCTGACCTCAGGATGCACCTGTGAAGTCACTTCACTTCCTGGCATTAGTCTTTTCCTGATGGAGCCTGGCACCTAGAACATTCCTGCCTCATGTGACTGCTAAACACTCACTGAAATAGACTGACAGGTGTGGTCAGACCCATTTCTCAGGTTTCACTGAAATAGGACCAGGACTGGTTCTCCAGGTGAAGGACACCATGTCCTTCCTCTTTGCGCCCTGGTGTTTATCTCAGTGTCTGGGACGTAGTAGGCCTGCCTCATCCAAGTGCGAGGTGAAATGTTGTGAGATGAAGGCTTGTTCCCCATATTCTTTTGTGGCCCCCACATTCTTTCCAAAGAATTCTATGGGGGGGGGGGGACCCTGGGTTCTGGGGCTTAACCATAGAACTGCCCTTTTCTCCTTGGGGACATTTGTGGTCACTGCTCTGCCCACAGGGAGAGGGCCTGCTGTGCTCTCTCTCCAACCAGTGAACTTCCTGGGCATTCCTGTGCGAACAGCCGTGGTGACATACAGCTTATTCCCTTCCCAGGGGGAAAGACCTCGTTTTGCTTTTTACTTTGCTAGAGTGGCCAGCAATCTCCTCGCGACTTTCTTTCTTCTAGCACTGACTTATTCGGGGGGAAGCTGTTTTCCTGGATCCTGCTAAGAGCTGAAAGACAGAAACGCGCAGCACCGAGGCGGATGGCAGCGCTCTGTAGCACTAACACTGTCAGAGCGGGTGTGATTCTTTGAGTTCTTCCTCTTTGGACCTCCTCCCTGGCCTACAGAAACCTGTGGAAAGTTCAGACTCTCTCCTTTGAGGCCTTAGGTGTGGGTTTTCAATTGCACCTGTTTCCTTGCCAATTCTGTGTTTCATATAGGCTGCAGGAAGGAAAAGGTTAGGAAATCCAGTTACCGCAGTCCTTGCTTGTTTAGGTCAAAGGTAAAAGGCTATGCATGAGGCAAGTCCGGGAGAGTTATGTCTCCAAGCTGTCCGCACTGGGGACAGGTTAGCGTGCATTAAGGGCAAGCTGTGGTGGGTTGGAATGGTAGGATGTGAAGGATGCCCTGCTTTGGAATGGAGTTGGTTCTTCCTCACAAATAGGAAGGAGTCCAGCATAAAGTCCAAGGGCAAGTGTGAGTTCAGCGTCAGTAAGAAGTGTTAGTTCTTCTGTGTCAAGGTCCTTTTCCCCTCTCCCCTTCCTCCTCTCTCTGTAGTTCTTCCATTAAGATTTAAATACATATAGAATTGTATACCCGAAACCTATATAATGTTATCAACCGATGTTACCCCAATAAATTCAAAAATAAAAAAATAAAGATTTAAATACAACCAGCCCTGAGCTTCCCCTGCCCACCCCCAAAAAATGCTCTTGGACCTGCTTAAAAATGCCAGCCTGGGCCTTCAGGGTACTCCGATCAATTACTTAAAGGTAGAGAGGGGGCCTGAAGTCTCGACCTCAATGCTCACCTTGCCTTCACTCTCTTAGATTTTTGGCCACAGCCAATGCCTGGTGTGTCCTTTTGTGGCAAAAGAAAGAGGCATTTGTATCTTTCAGCAACAATCACTCGTGATTAATAATTGATTTTGTATAATTATTTTAAGTAGCCAGTTTTCTTTCAAATTTTAATTACTATGAATGTATATTTTTTAGGCAAGACTATACATGGTTTAATTAAGAATAATCTGTGTTCATCCATCCTTGTTTCTATTTCTTGTACCAGAGGGTTTTCCTAGCCCTCAACTAATGATATTAGAGTAGCAAAAATGTCTTAATGAATGAGTGAATGAAGAACTAGATTTATAGACACTTTGGTTTGCACACATCTTAGGACCTTTTATTCTCACTAGATGAAAGTTTTCCATTTGAGCAATAGTCTGAGACATAGCACTACAGTGTAATATCAACATTATAAATCAAATGTAAAAATTAAGACATTCTAAAATGGTACTGATCTGAAGTACATGTCTTGTAGAAACATTAGAAACATTTTAATTTCTAACCAGTGGGTAGACTTGTCAATTTCCATAAAATATTTTACCAAAAATAGTCAACTTACTATTATTGGTCCCATTTTTATAAAATGTAATTTTAAGTAAAATGTTATAGATTTGCTAAACAAACAACAAGAGTGATGCTGTTTCTCATGTTAAGGAAGAGATCTAATCTAAAATGTTTATAGGAACATTTTTTAAAGAAAGAAGAAACATTTCTGCTATCACCAAGTGAGAGAAGTATGTAAAAGTGATTTGTAACCTCTCATGACACATTTGTACATTGTCACATGTATGTTAGCCCTGAGATGGCCTCATCGGGCACTCTGGACCCCGCCTTCTATTGGAACATCTGTGCGGTTTCTCCCCAGGGAGCAGCTCTCACCAAGCACATCAGCATCCCACTCTGCGTAGGCTGGCTCCTCCATCACATTTGTACAGAAAGCATCTCCTGAATTAAGCTTCCTCCAGTACCCTGCTTAGCTGTATATTCTCTCTTGTCTCTACAGTTCTTCATGACATCATCTTAACCATGTTCAATAAAAGCTTTATAGAGGAATTGTTAAAACCCCAAGAGCTCTACTCCAAGAAGGCCCTCAGGACCATCTATGACCGCCTGGCTCATGCCTCCATCATGAAACTGAACCAGGCAAGCATGGATAAGGTGAGCAAACAGTTGCCTCTAGCCTCTTGATTGCATGTCATGTATCTTTGGTGGATGATTATAGACTGGAATCAAATGAGATGATGTAAGCAATGATGCCTTGTAAAAAAAATGGCCTTGTAAATATTATTGTTGAGTTTCGGAGTTGGAAAGGACCTCAGACAACATCCACACCAGTCCCTCTATTGTTTATGTCACTCCACCTGCCCAAAGAGAGTGCTGGTCTTCATGCCCATATTTATGAACACCTTAGCCCAACCCTAAAGACTTTAAATCTGCTTCATTCTTGAATCTCAGCTCTGACAACCAGGAAGTTTTTGAAGCAAATTCAAAACTGCTCAGTCTTTACTTATAACAGGGACATATATATCTTTTGGGGGAACAAATTATTAGGGCACTCTGATTTTTTTAAGTTAAGTCCATACATTTTTAAAATGTGTTTTTATTGATTTGAGAGAGAGACAAACATCAATGTGAGAGTGAAACATCAATTGGCTGTCTCCCGCACAAACCCCAGCCTGGGATTGAGCCAAGCCTGTATAGATTGGGGTTGGCAACCTGGGCATGTGCCCTGACCAGGAATTGAACCAGCAATCTTTTGATGCATGGACGACGCTCCAACTGACTGAGCCACCCAGCCAGGACAAAAATCCTTTATTCGTTAATGTCTTTTCCACAGCTAGTTTTGTAATATCTTTTTGCCATTTTTAAATTAAGGTATAACTTATATGACATATAATTCACCCTTTCATAGTGTACAATTCAGTGGTTTTTAGTATACTCATAATGTTGTATAACCATCACCACTATCTAATTAGAGAACATTTCCATTAGTCAGTAGTAATGTCCTTTGTTTCATTTCTGATTTTAGTAATTTTAGTTTTCTCTCTTATTTTCTTGGTAAGCCTAAGTAAATAATTGTCAATTATCTAGCTAAAGGTTTGTTGGTCTTTTCAAAGAACCAACTTTTGGTTTCATTGATTCTTATCTACTGTTTTTCAACTCTTCATTTCATTGATTTCGGCTTCAAACATTCTTTTCCTTCCTTCTCCTTGGTTTGAATTTAGTTTGACCTTCTTTTTCTAGTTTCTTAAGGTGAAAGGCTAGGTGTTGATTGGGGAAGTGCAGGCATCCACTGCTGTAAATTTCCCTCTGAGCACTTCTTTAGCTGCATTTGAGACTGTTTTGTGTTGTTTTTTTTAAATATATTTTTACTGATTTTAGAGAGGAAGGGAGAGGGAGAGAGAGATAGAAACATCAACGATTAGAGAGAATCATTGATTTGCTGCTTCCTGCATGCCCCCCACTGGGGATCAAACCCGCAACCAGGGCATGTGCCCTGACCGGGAATCAAACCCGGGACCCTTCAGTGTGCAGGCTGACTCTCTGTCCACTGAGCCATACCAGCTAGGGCTTGAGACTATTTTTTATGGATGCGAAAACTCAGGCTCAGAGAGATGAGAAGACTTCACCAGGCCCATTCACCTAGTCAGTGGCAATGGAGGGCTTATTTTAGGGATTTTGCTCTCCAACTCCAGCACCCAGTCTAGGGCCCCCCAACTGCCAATATTGTTTCAAACATGTTCCATCAGCAATAAGCTGACCAGAAATCCTGGTTTGCCCAGGAATGTCCTGGTCTAACCCTGTTGTTCTGGCTTAATTATTATATCACCCCCTTTTACTCTCAAAAGTATCTTGGTTTGCTCAGCTGGTGTGGCTCAGTTGGTTGAGCGTCATCCCATACAATAAGAGGTCACCAGTTCGATTCCCAGGTTGCAGGCTCGATCCCCAGTATGGGATATGCAGGAGGCAGCCAGCCGATAATTCTCTCTCATCGATGTTTCTGTCTCTCTCGCTCCCTCTCACTTCCTCTCTCTATAAAGTTAATAAAAACATACATATTTTTTAAAGTATCTTGGTTTGAGGGATAACTGATATAGTCACTGAGCTGTATAATATACCCAGTACTGGTTTTCAGTAAACACTTGACTGCTTCATTGTGTGGAGGTTCTAACATCTGCTTTTATGATCCTATTTATTTTGTCTGCGTATGGGTTGGCAGCTCTATGACCTGATGACTATGGCTTTGAAATATCAAGTACTGCTGTGTCCCCGTCCCAAGGATGTGCTGCTGGTCACTTTCAACCATTTAGATACCATCAAGGGATTAATCCAAGACAACCCAGCCCTCCTGCATCTAGTGGATGAGACTCTCCGGCAGCTGATTGAAGTAAGACACCATCAGTTTATCACCTCTCAGCCCCATACTTGCTCTCATTCCTCTGTTAGGAATGGAAAGATTCTATGGCAGAGAGAACAGGATGAAGAATGGCAAAACCTGCCACTTCCCTGAAAACCCTAAAAGTCTCCAAGTATCCATTTTGGTCATACAAGAGGCATTATCATCTTAGGACCTCTTAACTGTTGCCTTCGAAATTGGGAAAGCAATGATCCAGAGCCTGGCATTTTCTCCTAACTTTTCGGAAAGGGGTTGGTGGTGGATGTTCTGCTAAATCTTGGGGAACAGCTTCTCTGGGTCTGTGGGGGACAGGAGAGGTGTTGTGCCCTGCTTGGTGTAGCGTGCTGGGGTCCGTGAGGGGGCAGTGCTGGCTCTCCTGCTGCCCTTCTCACCCCAGCAGCCGAGTCCTCCCCTTGCTATGGCTCCCATCCCTGAGCACCCACCTACCCTACCTGTCTGCACTTCTCACCTCACTTCTGAAAGTGAATTGCTTCTTGCTGCTTTGCCTCTGCAGGTATACGGGGGCCTCTCCGCGGGGGAGTTCCAGCTCATCCGGCAGACGCTCCTCACCTTCTTCCAGGACCTGCACATCCGGGTGAGTGGTGGCAGGCCCAGGAGCACCCTGCCACTGCTGTCCTAGGGAAATGGGGTGCCACGCAGTCACGCAGACAAGGGCTGAGCTTGCCCAGTTAGTGGTGTCCTCATTGTTTGGCTCCATAAATGATCAACTTTTTTTTTTTAATCTTTTTTAAAAAATATAATTTTTTATTGTTGAAAGTATTACATATGTCTCCTCCCCTCCCCCCCCCCCCCATTGACTCCCTCCAGCCCATCCCCACCCCAGGACCTCACCCTCACGCCCATTGTCTGTGTCCATGGGCCATGCATATATGCATACAAGGACCTTGGTTGATTACCTCCCACCCTCCCCGCCTTCCCTCCGACATTCCGCACTCTGTTCCATGTTTTGAGTCTCTGGATCCACTCCATTCATCAGTTTATTTTGTTACTTAGATTCCACATATGCGTGAGATTATGTGATACTTGTCTTTCTCTGACTGACTTATTTCACTTAGCACGGTGGCTCGCGAGCCACATGCGGCTTTTGGGCCCCTTGAGTGTGGCTCTTCCACAAAATACCACGTGCGGGTGCACGTACTATGCGATTGAAACTTCGTGGCCCATGCGCAGAAGTCAGTTTTCGGCCTGGGCGAGTCTATTTTGAAGAAGTACTATTGGTATTTGTATCTGTTGACTAATGAGTTTGCCGACCACTGACTTAGCACGATACTCTCCAGGTCCCTCCATGCTACCTCAAATGATCAGCTTTCTGATAGAAAATCTCAGCAGTTTTTAAATGGACCAAAGGAGACAGAGAGACTGCCTCCTCCCGTTACCTGTGCTCCTTGGTGTCTTCCCTTCTCCAGAGGACGTGCTCTCAGGGCCACCAGCCTGATCTGAATCGCACAGCCTCCCCCCGACCTCTCATCTCGGGGACTCTCCAGTCCCTGAGGCTGTGCGAGGCTGCCCTCCTCCAGGAAGCTCTCGCCTTCCCTGGTGGCGGGCACCACGCCATCCTGGCCTTCCCTGACCCTTCCCCTCTCTGCGCCTCACCCCTTCCTCTCCCTCTTCCTGTCTCCAAACCTTCTCCCCTCCACCCTCACCCTGCTCCTTAGGAATCGCGTCCCTCCCCACTTTCCAGCCCTTTCACCCGGAGTCTAACCTCCACCCCACCCTTGCCCTAGCCCTGCCGTCGAGACCAGCATCTCCACCTGAAACTCCCCACAAGGATGCCCACCCGTGCCTACAATTTCGTGTCTGTACCTAAACTCGCGTCCATGGACTGGGAAAGACAAACAGATTTCAACTCTGAGGCCAATTTTATTATTAATCCTCATGAAAAATTATATTTGCTACGGGTGGAGCAATAATAGCATCCATATAAATTAAGATCTCTAATAGTCATTGATTAAAATAAAAATATGAAAGTACAAATATGATTAAGTTTTGCATTGCTTTAAACTATTGAAAACTCTGCATCATGTTATCAAGACTGTGCATGCTTGGGTGTTATTTTATGAGTTGTAGTAACATAGCAGCCATAATGACTTCTCGAGTCTGACAAGATCAAATTAATTATAATGAAAAGACATTCCTAATAATAAGTCTATAACAAAATGATTAAAATATATTAAACCACAAAATATATTAAGCTTTACTTGCTAAAATGGGCACGCAGTAAAACATCAGAACATTCATTAAGAGAAATAGGACTTCCACCTCCTGGCAGAATTCAGCCACTGATTTGTAGCATTTGGCTGGTTTTCCAAGTCTGAATGGTATTGGGCTCAGCTGCAATTTGTGATTGCCTATGCCCTATACAGATTGTCTGTTTTCAGCCGTCTTGATAGTTTTTAGATTTGCTAGCAAAACCAACCAGCTAAACAAAGAAAACACAGCCCTGACTAACATTTCCTTGTTCATTGTTTAACCCAAACTCCTCATCTGATAACCAAAGCTTTCTGCAATATCACAAATCACTGGAGTGCTCTGATGTGGCTCAGGCCCTGCCCTGCTCTGCTCTCGGGCCTGGCCAGAGACCACTTCCATCTGGAATCCTGAGCAACCCCTCTCAGCCCTCCAGAACTCCTCCAAGGCTGCCTCCTACAGGGTGTGCCCTGCAGGTCCCCCACCCTCTCCCGCTCTCATTCCCATTCACACATCCTTCCACCGTGCACTTTCCTTGTGTTCTTTCCATTGCTTCCGTTGTTGGAAAATATCATCGCCTCGTCCTGGAATGTTCCTTATACCTCCACTCCACTATCCACTCCTCTTGGAAATGTTTCATGCCTGGAAAACCAGTCTAACAAATATTTCCTAAGTGCCTACTCTATGCCAGCACTGTTTTCAGTGTTGGAGATAAGTGAGCAAGGAGGCCTTAAGGGGGTTCTCTGCTGCAGGAAGAGACGGAGAGGACAAGTCAATAATATTCTGGTTCTGACCACTTCTAGGAAGACGGCAACACAGGGTAAAGTTATAGAGGGCAACTGGGATGGGATGTCGATCAGGCCAGCACCGTCCAGTAGAGCTTTCTGTTGTGACGGAAAAGTCCTATATCCCTGTTTTAATTGAGACTGTGACTAACAACAGAGATCTCAGGAAAGGGCATGTAAATGGAAGTGACAGCAAGCACGAAGGCCCACGGATGGGAAAAAGCATGAAGTGTTCCTTGGACAAGGAGAAAGCCAATCTGAACGAACCATGTCGAGGCCGGAATGATGGTCCAGGTTTACAGCCTGTGCAGCATGGGCACTGGCTAATCATAGCAGGTGCCAGTTATACACAAGCTGGTCCCTACAGCTGACTTACCTTTAGACCCCAGTAAGGAGTTTATTCTAAGAGTGAAGAAAAGATTTGAAGCATTTTAGGGTGATCTGATTCGTGTTCTGGAAGATGAGCTATATGAGATCAGGGCAGAGGTAAGACAGCAGTTGGAAAACTGTTGCGGAAATTAGGTAAAAAACGAAAGTTCTTGGATTGGGTGCTACCAGTTAAGACAGTGAGACATGTTCACATTCAGGATATACCTTCAGAGCAAGATGAAGAAGACTTACTAAGAGATCAGATGTGTATAGGGGGGATAAATTGTGATAGAGACTTGATTTGGAGTGGTGAACACACAATGCAGTGTAGAGATGATATGTAGTAAAATTGTGCACCTGAAACCTGTATAATTTTGTTAACCAATGCCACCCCAATAAATTCAATAAAGGCTGAGAGAGAGAGGAATGAGAGGAAAAAGAATAAAGAACGAATACTAAGTTTTTGTCCTAAGCAACTGTGGTGCCCGTTAGGCATCCAAGTAGCAACATCAAATAGGCAGTTGGTTATGCTGCAAGCAGTTGAGTATGGCTGGAGCATGCGGTTCACGGAGGAGCATGGCTGTGATCGGGGGCCGACTGGAAGGTGTATAACTTACCAAAAACCCGGAGCCGGGGAGTGGCCCAGCTGAGATGTACCCTAGGCAGCCCACCGTCAGAGCCTAAACTGGCAGCTTACAAATTCTTGTCACTTTGCATTTTCACTGCCTGGCATACAACATCCTTGATGATATTATAAATATAAAGGACTTATTTCACACATAAGGAAGCTAAGATCCAACAAAACTGCTACAGTGTTTATGGGATTTAGTCTGACCAAGACCTCAATACAGAGTGCACAAACCCAGGAGTAGACATAAGCATATATGGTGTTTTCAGGCACATAAAGGACCTTCAAACCATTGCCGGCTGGATTCTCCCTCTCCAGCCTCTTGTCACCAATCCTGCCCGGGCTAAGAGTTTGTGCTCCAGAGTCAGATACACAAGGGCCGGCTTGCATCCTCCGCTCTGCCCCTGTGAGCTGGCTGGCCTTGAGTGAGTGTCTTAATCTCTGAGCTGCCAATGCCTCACCTGTGAAGTGGAGATAGAGAGGTTCTTACAGCACTGTCGGGTTATCGCCTTTCTGAGAACAGACTTTATGGAAAGGTAACCGGGAACCAAGGAATGGGTGTGGCATTTGGAGTCAGCCTTGGTTTCGAATCCTTGCCCTGTCTCTTACTGTTCTCTTTGGGCAAGTCACTTTACTCTGTGACCTCGGCTTTCTCATCTTTAAAAAGGGGGTAAGCCAGACTAGACTGTGTGGCTCAGTGGTTGAGCGTTGGCCCATGCACCAAGAGGTCACTGGTCCGACTCCCAGTCAGGGCACATGCCCAGGTTGTGGGTTGTGGGTTGTGAGTTGTGGGCTCGATCCCCAGGGGGGTGGGGGTGTAAGAGGCAGCCGATCAGTGTTTCTCTCTCATTGATGTTTCTATGTCTCTCTACCTCTCCCTTCTCTCTCTAAAAATCAACGGAAGCATATTTTTTTTAATATATTTTATTGATTTTTTACAGAGAGGAAGGGAGAGAGATAGAGAGTTAGAAACATCGATGAGAGAGAAACATCGATCAGCTGCCTCTTGCACATCTCCTACTGGGGATATGCCCGCAACCCAGGTACATGCCCTTGACCGGAATCGAACCTGGGACCTTTCAGTCCGCAGGCCGACGTTCTATCCACTGAGCCAAACCGGTTTCGGCGGAAGCATATTTTAAAATAATAATTGCTAAAAAGGGAGGGAGGGAGTAATGCACCTCACCTAGATTTTCTGTGAGGCTCAAAAGGAGTTTTGTTCATAAAAAAAAAAAAAACCACTGTAACTCTGCAGATGTTAGCTATGGTGAGTTTTCCTCTTATTGTTATAACCCACTAGGTAACATTCCCAACCCACTGCAGCTTTCCATCCTCACAGTGCTCACGTCTATGAAAATCTACCAGGAAAAATGATAATAAGTGTTTGGTTTTTTTTCAGGTGTCCCTATTTCTAAAGGACAAAGTTCAGAATTCCAATGGTCGCTTTGTGTTGCCAGTGTCTGGGCCTGTTCCCTGGGGAATTGAAGTTCCTGGACTCATCAGGTGAATTCTCAACAATAATTGTCAGGCCAGGGTTTGGGGTTCCGGGAAGCCAGTATGTGGGCCTCCACCCAGAATGCAGCTCAGTGGGCCCTTCCTTTCCTCAGTAAAGCACAGGAGTTAGGAGGTCAGGCGCTAGTCCCAGCACTGCCACGTGGCAGACACTCACGGCAAACCACCCCATCCTCCAGCATTCATTTCCTCATCTATTAAATGGGCTCATCATTTGTCTTCCCAGACCTGAGGATGAATAAGATAATGATGCTCTCAAATGCTTACATAGCACCTGGCACATAACATGCACTCAATAAATATTATTGCATCAATATTATTACCACAAACAGCACCTTTATCTTGAAAGGGCACATGAATTCCTTTTTGTCTCACAGTACAAAGAATAAAGACGCCTCCAGGACTACCCAGGCTTGGAGAACGTTCCATCATGTCATACTTTGTATTGCAGAATGTTCGACAACAAAGGCGAAGAAGTGAGGAGGGTGGAATTCCCGCACGGTGGAAACTATGTCACTGCGCCAAAGGAAGGTTCTTTTGAAGTTTATGGAGATCGAGTCCTGAAACTAGGAACTAATATGTAAGCAAATCCTCCCTCCCTGAGTGAGTTCGAGTCCAAGGGAGTCACCTCGTGTAGAAAGCCAGCTTGACTTCGACCCTGAAATCCTGCTGACACCTGCAGTGGTTTCCCCTCAGACACAGTGCATGCCGCGCCCCCCACCTCCACAGGGCGCCTAAGATTTCCAGACATCAGGTCACTCATAGGTTTAAAAGATAAATAATTTTAAGCCCTAGCTGGTTTGGCTCAGTGGATAGAGCATCAGCCTGGGGACTGAAGGGTCCCAGGTTTGATTCTGGTCAAGGGCACATGCCCAGGTTGCGTATTCAATCCCCAATAGGGGGCATGCAGAAGGCAGCTGATCAATGATTCTCATCAGTGATGTTTCTCTCTCCCTCTCTCGTTCTCTCTCTCTCCCCTTTCCTCTCTGAAATCAATAAAAAATATATTTTTTAAAAAGATAAATAATTTTAAGTGGCCCTGGAGATTCAGAAAGGCGAGGTGCTTCCACACAGCTTCCCAGGTATTTTTCTTTGGGGAAAAAGTAAAATTTGAGCAGTTGACAAACACTTACTTGTATGTTTAAGTCCCAGCACCTTTCTGGATGCTTTTAAACATCTCAAAACAAAAGCCGCGAGCTAGCCCAGCTGGCGTGGCTCAGTGATTCAGCATCCACTTAGGAACCAGGAGGGCACAGTTTGATTCCCGGTCAGGGCACACGCCTGGGTTGCTGGTTCAATCCCCAGTGTGTGGCGTGCAGGAGGCAGCCGATCAATGATTCTCTCTCATCATGGATGTTTCTATCTCTCTCCCTTCCTCTCTGAAATCAATAAAAATGTTATTTAAAAAAAAAAAAAAAAGCCATGAGCTATACTTAGGTGTTAGAAGGAAGTCAGTTTAAAGGGTTAAACAACGTTTTCACAGTTTTCTGTTGACAACCAGGTACAGTGTGAACCGGCCTGTGGAAACCCATACATCTGGAACATCAAAGAACTTATCTTCACAGGCACAGGTGAGCCTCTGCCTCCTGTATTTATCTTCTGAGCTTACTTCTAGATACAAAAGTCCAGATGGGGAGAAGGGTGGGAACTCTGGATTTCAAAGCTAGCCAACATTTCCCTCATTGTTCGCAATCTTCTCGATGCAGCCTTATAAGTACACAGGTTTTTCATTGTAGTTTCCCATGGAGACCTCCAGTGATCTGACTAATTAGGTAATTTTAGGCTTGGTTCAATCACCATAATTAAGTGGGAACCACACAGCAGGACATGTGAAATTAGCACCAAACCAGTGCCATCAGTTCCGGGGCCGCTGACCTCAGCACCTTATCATTAAAACGTCCCTTTTCAGTGCTCCCCTTATTGCGATAGCTAAGCTCAACATGGGGTTTTAGGTTCTCTGGATTCCATCTATACAGACTCTCACTGAACTAAGTGCCAGCTAGCCACAGGACAACTCATGGAATATTCCATTACTCAGAAAACATTCGTTGAACTGCTTCTACGGGCTGGGTACCCAGGGACACAAAGCTGGCTTAGATGGGTCTCATCCTGAAGGGGCTTCTATAGTTGGGAAGACAGCGATAGAACAAACAACTTTCACACAGGGGAGGTTCTGAACGAAGTGCCCTGTGTTCTGTCCAGTGGGCTGGGAGCAGGGGGCTGAGTCAGGAAAGCTGTTCAGGGGGTGACATTCAAGTGGAGCTCTGGAGAGGATAAGGTACTCAGCAGCCGGAAGGAGAAATGGGGGTGCAGACCCAGGTGACAGTTTGGGCAAAGGCGCCAAGGGGCAGGAGAGCATAGTGTTTGGGGGAGCAGGGAGGCAGCACCTCTCCCCCATGACTCGGTCACAGCCTAATTGAGGCAGGTGGCCAGAGGTTCGGCTGTACAGGGACACCCACCCGTTCGGGGCCTGAGTAGGAAGGAGCGTAAACAATTTGGACTTTGCCCTTTAGGCAGGAGACGGAGGGGTTTATTTCCCGCAAGGAAGAGGTGAGAAGAGAACTGTGTTTTAGATAACTGGCGGCAGAGTGACCGAAGAGGCCAAGCAGGGGAAGGCCGGGTTAGAGAGCCATGTTAGAAGGGGAAGGTGGAAGTGGGCAAGACTGAGCGAGGGAATGGACGCAGGGTGTGTTCACCATGGTCACCACCAGAGGGCAGTGTGGTAGCTCCTACGCAGTGAGTGCCCTGGCAGCGGGAGCCCTCAGTGTGAGGGCACCAAGCTGCCTGAAGAGGAAGCAGTGTTCTTCAAGGAGGGAGGTAGTTGAGGACAATGGGTCCCTGGGGCCTTCCACTCGTCCTGAAAGTGTGAAGGTCTCTGGTTTGCTGCCCTGCTAGAGTCCCTCTGCTTCTGACGCAGATTGTTTCTCTGTTGGTTAAGCCTGTTTAAGCCTGTTTTCTATGCTTTATTTGGACCCAGTTCTTCCCAGTAATAATTTAAATAGTTATTGCTTTGCCTGGGTTTATAATACCACCCTGGGTCTCTGGGTCTCAGCAGGAAACATGATCACTTTCATGTGGCTAAAAATCATGACATTTTTTCTGCAGCAAAGCATTGCTCCAAACCCTCTTGCTAAAGAAGAGCTGAATTTCTTGGCCAAGCTGATGGGAGGAATGGAGATTAAGAAAACCAGTGGCCCTGAGCCAGGATTCCGGTTGAATCTCTTTACCACCGACGAAGAGGAAGAGTATGTTTTAAATCTGTCTCTTTAAAGACCTATAGAAAAATCCTGAGTGTGCTAAGCCAAAAAGGTGACCACCATAACCAGCGACACTTATAAATACAAGTGTAAAGACCACAAATGACTGCCAGCCAATTCAATAACCTGGTTAAGAAGAGTCCCCCAGTGTGAAACAGCCTGAACTCGCTGGATTTGTTCACAGCACAGCTGAACAAGAAGTATTAGAAGTCAAGATAATCAAATCAAGGAACATCTGTTTAGAAGCCAGAGGAGGGAGGTCAAAGAATGATATCTTTGAGATTAGATAGCCTCCCCAAAACCAGTAGCAGTAGTAACTGACTGAGATTTATAGTGCTTTACAGTTTACAGAGCACTTTTGCATTCATTATCTCATGTGATCCTCCTCAGAACCAAATATTTGGGGGTGGGGGTGCCTTCTATTTCCCTATCCATTGAACTGCCTTCTTTTGTTCATGTCTGTGTGGCAGGTACTATGGTAAGTGCTGGGAACACAAAGATGGAGCGTGTGACCGAGGGCCTGCCCTCGGGAGCTCCCCGCGTAGCAGGAAAATGAATGTGTACATAGGTCATGTCAGTGCCAGGTCATAAATGTGCTAATGGAGGACACAGTGGTTACTTGCACTGGCAGATTGAAAGAGTTGGCATCTGAGCTGGGTCTTGGAATGTGCCAAGCAGAGGAAGGGGGAAGCATTCTTGGCAGAGTTTAGTATGTGCAAAGGCACAGAGACATAAAAGAATGTGACTTTCTGGAGTGCGGGGGGCATTGGTTGGGCATGTAGGAAACAAAGTTGAAGGGAAATGGCAGGAGATGAGGCAGAAAAGAAATAGGTTGCCCAATTATTAAGTGCCAGTTTGTCATGCTGGCAGGGAGAGAACTCTAACCTTTGACCTATTTCTCTACCATCTCATGCAGACAAGCAGCGCTAACCAGGCCAGAAGAGTTATCCCATGAAGTTGTCAACATACAAGCTACTCAGGTGTGTCCAGGGGACTCCATGTCAAATCTTATTCCCCTCCTCATCCTGTAATAACTTTGACCTTCCAAGGCCATACTTTCTCTCTGATCCAGCGGTTCTCAACCTGTGGGTCATGACCCCTTTGGTGATCGAACGACCCTTTCACAGGGGTCGCCTAAAACCATCCTGCATATCAGATATTTACATTACGATTCATAACAGTAGCAACATTACAGTTATGAAGTAGCAACGAAAATAATTTTATGGTTGGGTCACAACATGAGGAGCTGTATTTAAAGGGCCAGAAGGTTGAGAACCACCGCTCTAATCAGTATGATGAGCTGAAATGCATCACAGTGGTGGGATAAAAATGAAATACCAAGTGCATGTCTCGTTTCTCGAACAGGACCAGCAAAGGAACCAAGAGCTGGCTCGGATCATGGGGGAGTTCGAGGTCATGGACCAGCCAAGGTGGAGTGCCAGCAAGGGGGATGATTTGCTGGCCATGATGGACGAGTTATAGCTGTGCGGACCAGGCACACCCCTCCGCTGTGGGAGAGGCTGCCTGACGCGGACCCTGGGGGATGCAGAAGGATGCCGCTCGTTCTCTGCTGAGTGAAGAAGCATTACCTCTTGTTCCCGTTCGTGTTGGGACGGACTGCTCCAGTCTCTCAGGAAGCACACTCCCGGAAGGCACGCACATACACATCGACTCCCATTGTCCTTCTGCTTTAATGACAGCCCTCCAGAGCATCCTGGGCCACAGGTTCAAGCCTCAGAGTTGGTAAGGGGCGCTTCCATCCCTGCTTTCCTGTGGGGGCCTCCAGCTCACAGATGCCTGCGAATCGTCACCAAACTTCAGAGCTTTCTGGGACGGCTCCTGCCTTGTGAGTCTGAAATAAGTGGAAAAGGCAGTTGCCTCACGCAGTTGGGGCCCAGTTTAGACAGCCCTCCTCTCCCTGGCACCCTGGGAACTGTAACCTCAGAGGCAGGGGAAGCAAGGCCGTGTGACGGGAGCAGCAGCTGGGTCCCCCACAGAGCACGTGGGCACCTGCAGTTCGCTGCACAGCTCTCCATCCATACATGGTGGGGGCTTCTCCCTCATGGAGACACGCACCAAGGAAATAGTGCTTCATCCCCAGAGCCTTCCTCGGCCACCTACTGTCCTTCTAAAGACACCCAGCACGGTGCGCCAGGACACCGGCTCCTCTGCCTCTCCCCCTGGGGCCAAACAGAGCCTTAAGCTGGATTCATGGGAGGCACACGTGGTGAGTCATTTTACCTTCTGTGTCCCAGAGGAGCTGCTTCCCTGGCACGATGCCAAGTGTAGTTGGGCTATCAGACCGGGGAGGCTGCCTTCCCTGTTCCAGGAAGGCCTGGGACTGAGTAACTGGTGGGCTCAGGGCCACCTCATGTCCAGAGGTCCAGGCCCAGTCAGCCCTGTAGAAGGAACCTCCAGGACGGCAGAGGGTAGGACGACGGAGCTGCGTCGGTCATCGCCTGAGATTGGACCGACCACAGGGAACGCTCAGGCCCTCGCACCCTGGCAAGAGGGGAGGCAAACACTTCTGGAATCTGAGGGCCCGGGAAGCTGTCCTTTAGCTTGCCACGGCGTAGTGTTTGATCGCAGACAGGTAAATCACCAAATAAATGTAATTTGCTGCCTTCCCGTGAATTACACTTCCTTGCCTACAAAGACGCCCCCAAAAGGTCCTTTGGGGAGGAGAGACGTTTGCTGTAAGACGCCTGTTACAGGCTTGCAAACTGCCTTCTCCTTTAGTCTCTACCAAGCAATCCGGGTGCCAGAGGAAAGGGAAGGTTCTGTCCAGTTCTGGGTCTGGCTCCACCGCGCTGCCACAAACCTGGACTTCACTGTCTGCTCTGAGCACGTCCCGGGACTTGGAGGTTGCCACCAGCTGCTGAGAGGCAGCAGCCTCCTCCCTCCACCTACTCCAGAGCAATGCCGAGGGTTTCAAATGTATCTGTCCCCTCGGTAAATAAACAAGATACGGATCTCTGGTAAGGCAGCCTAGCGATGAGGCAATCTGAGTTTCATGTCTCTAGACTTGCACAAATATTGAGACAAACAAGTTGATTGGCATGGTGGCTCAGGGCATCCAGAAAAAGCAGGGGAGTCGGGAGGAGGCAAAGAAGAAAGGAGGTAGGGAAACTCTGGCCAGTGTGCGGACTGAGTACCAACAACACATCAGGTTCGTTTAAAACCTGGCCACGGGAGCCCGGCCGGCGTGGCTCAGTGGTTGAGCATCAACCTATGAACCAGGAGGTCACGGTTCGATTCCCAGTCAGGGCATATGCCTAGGTTGTGGGCTTGATCCCCAGTAGGGGATGTGCAGGAAGTAGCAGATCAATGATTCTCTCTCATCATTGGTGTTTCTATCTCTCTCTCCCTCTCCTTCCTCTCTGAAATCAATAAAAATATATTAAAAAGTAAATAAAACCAGGCCACGGGGAACAAGGGTGTCACACACAGTGCCCAGCACGCTTCAAGGGGAGGCATGCTGTGGTCAGAGGCAGGACACTGGGTTCTGGTCCCATTCCTGCCCCCAACTCCCCATGTGCCCTAGGCAGTTACCGTCCTGAGCCTCAGGGCCCCATCTGTAAGAATGAGAAGGAACTAGCTCACTGGCTGGGGCAGGCTCACCCACGCAAGTCACTGACTTTAGTTTCCTAGGCCCTGGCCCGGGGGGACCGGGAATTGGAATGTTTGCCCGTGCTGGCCCCAGCTCCATGCTTCGGGGGTTTGTCTGCTCTCTCAGCTCTTCTGTGCTAATCTCTTCTCAACTAAGTTTCAAACTGTGACGCTCCGTGTCGGAATGCCCTACAGAGTTGCTCAGGCAAAACTCTAGAAAAGCCTTCGGGATAGAAGTTCTTTCATGATTCCCAGAAGAAAGATGTAATAAAAATTGAGACCGAAGAGGGAAGACAAAAGGGGGCAAAGTGTGTTTAGCCCTCAGTTGTACGAGGCAAGTCACCCCATGGAGCCCATATCGGTATCTAACAATTTTTAAAGTGAACTCACTTTTTGCCTTGTACTGATCTAGATGCTGGTGGGCAAGGAACGAACCTCAGCACAGTCACCAGACCCTGAGACCCCACGTCCAACCAGGATCAGGCTCCCTCACCCACTCCATCTGGTTTCTGGCTCTGGTTTGCATCCCGTGAGACCAACTCGAGCCACAGGAAACCTCAGAAAGAGAAATGCAAATTTTAGAAAAGATTGATCACAATAACTAATCATAAAGACCCAAATGAAAATCTGAAAACTCCTAGTCCCATTACCTCCCCCTAACTCCCTTGACATAATGCCCTGGATAACTCCTCCTCAGCTGCTAACTTCCTGGACAGCTGATCAGCGTTCACAGGGAGCGGCCGGGAAGCCCCTCCACAGTTGAGCCTTCCCTGCACAGTTTCGGCATTTGGTGAGAAGTAGCTTCTCAGATCATAACTCACCCCTTTTCAAACGAGAATGTCAAGATGCATTCCAAGGACCAAGAGAATTCCTTGAGTTATCTGATTACCTTAACCACCTCCCCACCTCCCACCCCCCCCCAAACCCCCCCCCACACACACACACACACACACACTGCATTCTTTTTGTTTCTGGGCAGTGGTGCCTCTGCTGTCAAAAATAACACTCCCTCTCTGTTAGTTCCCCAAACCGCATGGACCCGCACCACCAGCACAGCCCGGAAGAGCAGGGCCCGAGCCCAGGGCTCCTCCTCTGTATAAAGCTCCCTCGCTTCCTTTCGAAGCTGGGCCGCCCCAGTTTCAGGTTTTCCCTCCGGGGAGTCGTGGTGTCAGCAGAGAACGTTTGACCAGGTGTCTGGATAGCCCTACGACCTGTCGGGTTCACTTATCATTGAGGAGATAAAACTAGTTTTGTATGACCTCCCTCATCTCTCTGCCTCAGCATTATGGTTTTTACACTCTTCCCCTCCTCAGTCGCACCCAGCCTCCTTTCTGCACCTCAGATATTGACCCAGTGGCTCCCCTCCTCCCACCCGCCCTCACCCGCACCTCCAACCTCTGCTTCTCCAGGGCCGCTCCTCTCCATGTTCACTCCTCTGGCTGCTCAGTGTTCCTCCCCCTCCCCAGCACTCCAGGCGTCCTTGCTCCCCCCCACCCCCCCACCCCCTCCTACACCCTAGAGCTCCTGTCACCACACAGCCCCCAATTCTGTTGTCTCCAGGCCCCGGCTCTACTAGATCCCACAGCCTTTTCTCCTCCCATTCTCCTTGGCTTTGTTAAGGCCCTAGGCCAGTGATGGCGAACCTTTTGAGCTCGGCGTGTCAGCATTTTGAAAAACCCTAACTTAACTCTGGTGCTGTGTCACATATAGAAATTTGTTGATATTTGCAACCATAGTAAAACAAAGACATATTTTTGATATTTATTTTATATATTTAAATAACATTTAACAAAGAAAAATCAACCAAAGAAATGAGTTCGCGTGTCACCTCTGACACGCATGTCATAGGTTTGCCATCACTGCCCTAGGCCCTCCCTAACACCCTCGTCTTCCTAAAACCCTCTCACCCTTCGGCCCTGGTGGCTCTAATCATACCACTTTCTGAATACACTTTCCCCCCCACCCCGCTTCCTCGGTGGTTTCAGAGTAGGGGTTGCCCTGTATGATACAGATGTTGACGCAGCCATTTTTAAAAGCCTGTCAAAAGGCCGGGTCATTTGCCAGATGACCTTTATTTCATCCCTGGCATTCTTCCTGTTCCTCATCCTGATCTCATCTCTCACTCTCCATTTCTCACCCTCACCCTCTCCCTCACTCTGACCCCACTACTGCCCAGATGTTTTATGTGCCCCTCAGTGCTTAGTTTGCATTTTTCTGCAAATTGTTTTGCATCCCCCCCCCCCCAACCCCGCCTCCTAGAGAGGCCATTACTTTCAACCATTACTATTGACTCACAAATCCCTGCACCTCCCTCACTTGGGCTGCAGGCTCACTTTCCCTGGGATGTCCCATATCACCTCACACATCAGTGTCATCTTTATTTAGTACACGTACTTCACTTTCAAAAGGCATGAAAGAACCTAAATATGAGAGGAAATATCACAGTGTTCCATTGAAAAGAACGGAAAGTGAAGGATACCAAAGACTTCCTAACAATGGAGTCAATAACCCAGCAAAGAAATGAGTTGCTGGAGTTGATCACAGGTACTGTGGAGGGGATTTGGGCGCAGGGTGGCAAGTTGAAGCAGGAGACCTGGGAGCCTCCCTAATTCAGGATCCTGACCATTGGAAGCACCACTGAGTTCATACAAAGGGGACGAGAAATTCAGTCTCCTGAAGTGAACTTCGTTCAGGAGGGGGCCTTGTACTGGTCTGGGTGGCCAGTTACAAAAAATTGAAACCAATTCTGGCTACTGAAGTAGAGAAGGAGTTTATGAAAAGGGATCAGGCAACCCACAAGAGTTGTTGAGAAGACGGGAGAACCTGACAAAATGGCCAGGAACCAGGGAAGGGTAGGCAGATGGGGAAGGACTCCAGCACAAGCAGCCCCCTTCCCGGGATGAGGCC